TCTGTTACCCCCAGGCAAATGGACAGGTGGAGAACACCAACCGGACGATCGTCGATGGACTGCAAAAGAAGTTGGAGGCCCTCGGGACTGCCTGGGTGGAGGAGTTGAACAATATACTTTGGACCTTCAGAACAACCCCAAGGAAGGCAACAGGAGAGACCCCCGTTTGCCTTGTGTTATGGCTTTGAGGCGAGGGCACCATTCGAGGCCGTAGTTCCCAGCCGGCGAGTAGAAGAGTTTGAACCAGCCAGCAATGAGGAGAGGCTCCGAGCCGAGCTCCACCTCATTGAGGAAAGAAGAGACCGTACCTTCATCAAAGCGGAAAACTATCGACGACAAGTCAAGGCGTACCAAGACAGCCGAGCCCGACCCCAGAGTTTTGACGTCGGTGATTATGTCCTAAGACGTAGGAAGGCCAGCAGGCCGACAGAGGGAGGTAAGCTCTCCGTCAAGTGGGAAGGCCCTTACGTGGTTGACGCGGTGATCGGCCCTGGGACATACAAGTTGAAAACAACAACAGGCCGGTTGGTAGACCGCGTCTGGAATGCCGAGCACCTGATGAAGTTTTACCAGTAGAAAATCGAAGTTTCACTTTTCTTTGTAAACTCCTGTGCTCCGAGCACGGGATTACAATTTGTAATTCTTCATGTGGTCCGCCCACATCATGAATTCAATATACTTTGCTAGCGATATTTTGTCATCAAAAGAGGTCCGACCTCACTTAGCAATAAAGGGCGGCGGCAAAAAAAAAGGTACTATGCCCCCCCTCGGTGTTTGGCCGACCTCGGCCAGGCTCTTTAACCGAAAATAGCCAAGCGATTTTCAAGAATCTGGGCAATTTTCTAAAGTAAAGAGCTAGCCGCGACAGTCGAGGCGACGGTAGGGCCGGCCTCCGGGTCGAGGGTACTCAGGATGCTGACCTCCGGGTCCTTTCGAGTGCTCGCCGCCTAACATCGCTGGCCAAGCAGCTCGCACTCTCGTCATCCCTGAGTTGGCGGTGCGGGTTCGTTCTGGTGGATCATGCAGGGTCCGCCCCTGTTGTTTGGCTATCCATGTGGGAGTAACCAGATTATTCCCAAGTCCGGGCAAACTGGACGGGTTAAAGTGACAGTAGGACTGACCCCCGGGTCATGAACGTTCAGGATACCGACCTAAGGGTCTTCCTCGTCGGTTCAATGTCCGACCTTGCTGGCCAAACAAGTCGCTTACTTGTTGATTCCATATCAATAGCGAACAGATCACTTCTATCCAACTAGGAGAGGCACGGATAGGCTCGGCCACGCCAGCCTAACCGCCCCCCGGGAGGTTAGAGAAGCCAGATCCCCGAATAAATTGCTAAGTATTCGTAATGCAAAGTATAGAAAAGGAGGCGTGTGAAATAAAAATCAAACATCCACAAAGTATTCAAGTGGGAAACAAAGGAAATACAAAATACAAGGTCACGGCTGGACAGACCCATCGCCATCAACCTCGGGAATGTCATCTAACACACCAACCAAGTCCTGGCCAGGGGCCACAGGAGTCATGTTCCCCGGAGCTGGCGGAAAGAACCAGGCCCATTCGTTAGAACTACCAAGCTCCTCCTCCTGACGGACGGCCTCTGGGGGAAGAAGGGCTATCGCCTCCACGGGTTTCTTCATGCGGCCAGGAAGGCCCAGTGTGGATGGATGAAAGTCAGGGTCTAGATCCTTCAACCGGCCATACACCTTCTGCTGCATCAAATACTTGCCACTCTGAAAAGCATAGAGGACTTCGCGAGCGCGCCAATACTCTCCGTCGGGGGTCGTCAGCCACCTCTGCACCAGTTCAGACTCTTCCGCTTGCACCCTCGCAGAGATGAGCTTCTGGAACTGCTCGGAGGCCTGGAACTCGGAGAGCGCTTTCTTGGCTCCTTGTTTGGCCACTTCTTCACATTCTTGTGCACGCGAGGACTGCAGCTCGGAGAAGGCTTTCTGGCTGGCCCACAGGGCGGCCCTAGCTTCGTCATCCTCACGTTGAAGCCTGGCCTGAGAATGATTGGCTGCGTGAAGTGCCCTGATGGTCTTGGCGAGCCCCTGCAAGATAGACAAACGAAAATGTGAGGGGGTTCAAGGATAAACACAATCCACACCAAAACGTGATCAACCTACCTCGATATGTGCCCGGATAGAACCCTCTAAGAGGGGATGAAACTCTTGGGAAGTCGTACAGGTGAGGTCGCCTGGTGGGAGGATTGATGAAGCATAATCCATGACCGGGAAGCCTTCATGCATAATTGAGGCACTCGAAGATGGGAAGGCGTAAGTAACTGTATGTTGGGTGTCATGGCTGCTCCGTTCGGCCACCCTCTCATCTGCACCCTCATGTACCTGCTCAGCGGAAGGAAACTTGGGGGCGACCTTGGCCTTCTTCGAGACTCGTTCCCCTCGGCCCGGGGAGGAGGCTCCGCGCTCTTTCCCCGCAACCGTCTTGGGGGCCACATCGGCAACGGCGGGGCAGGGCCCCTCCTCCTCCTCCTCATCGGACCCATCCAATTGGACTAGCAGATCGACGAGTCCGCCCTTGTGCTTCTCCTGCACTGGCGTAGTTGGCCGAGGCCCGAAGGTAACTCTCACCCTTCTTGGAGGGGGGGCTCCGTGCCCTTTCCCCTTTGCAGCCGTTGCTGCCACAGGAACGATGACTTGTTGAGGCTCCTCCTCTTCATCAGATTCCGCCTCAACAACGAGCTTCTCAGGCACAACTGCGGAAGAAAAATGTGAGGATAAGCAGGATAAAATACAAAGTAGCAAACATAGACCAGACAGATGACAGTCACCTAAATATGAGCTGATGGAGTGGGGACCGCCTGCGGACAATATGTCGATGGAGGACTTGAGACCAGGGGAGAGAGCGACCCGGTCACACTTCCGAACCCGTTCACCCCACCGAGGCAGAGGCGACGGGAGGTTGGGGTCGGATACCCATATCCATCTCTTCTTCCACCCTTTCCCTGAACGGGGGTAACCCGATCGAAACAGTTTGCTCACCGGCCTCTGGGAGAGTAAGGCGAAAAAGCTAGAAGCACGCCACTGGAAGCAGCTGAAAAACAGATCAATCGTGGGTGTGAGGCCCACATCCTCACACCGCGCCACAAAAGCGGCAACGAACATATGAGCCGCCGGAGCCAATTGACCCGGGGCCACACCCAAAAAGTGAAGGAACCGAACCAGGAAGGGGTGCAGTGGCACGACCATCCCTAACTCCAGTGAGCGGATATGGACCCCGAAATAGGGGGCTGGTGGATCGCTCAATACGTCGGTGGCCACCGGAGGTTCCAACAAACAATTACCACCGATCAGACTACATGCTACGGTGAGGTCCCCTTCTGTGACGCGAGAAGGGAGATCCGGTATTCCGCTGCTATCAAGGTCCCACCAGGAATCCAAGTCCACCCGAGTATCAGAATCATCGTCAGAGTCTGGTACGTTCACAGGTTGGATGCACGCTCTGTCTGGAACACCGAGGTGTCGTCCCTCAGAAGTAGCAACCCGTCTAGCTGGAGCCAACTCAGTGAGAACATCAGCTGGCTGCCCAGTAGTAACACCCATGTGCATACGTGGCCGAGGGCCGTGGCTGACCCGCATGGGTCTCGCGGCCGCCCCGCGCTCTGCTTCAATAATAGCCGACAGTCCTGAATCCGTATGATCATTGTTCTCATGGGGAGAGTATCTGCCGCCCTGCATGACCAAACTAAAAGGAGCGCGCCTGCACACACAAAAAAAAAGAGCTACAAGAATTAATACGAAGTGTCGCGCTTAATGGGGGGCTCAGTCGGGCAGCAGGAAGATGGTCGCCATCAATAGGAGACCGTCGCATCTGCCGCGCGACGGGCAACAACAGGGTTCCGGCCTGCCGCCAGCCCTATGGTGTGGATGTTCGATCTGGGTAGAGTTCAATATCCAATTGCAAGGCGAGGGACGTCGGGTAGCACGTTACCGCCCCAGGGAGCCGCTGACCAGCACGGGACGCCCCGACCAACTCAAGCTCCGGTCTGTGCCGACCGTTGGGGAGGACGGCCTGTGGGACGCACGACGGAACTGCACGGCCGCAGGCGGCCTGGCCGCCTGAGAGAAGACTGCCGCCCGGGTGCCCGACTCGGGGGACCGCCGGGCCACCAGCCCCTGGCGACGCTGACCAAGAGCGGAACGACCACCGGCTGAGTAGGTGGTCGGCCAAGACATGGGATCCAGGCCCACCGGCCAGAACCGCCGGATTGCGGGGGCGACGCCGTCCGCCGGCGGGTGGTGTAGCAGCGGCTTGGCGCAGCATGGACCGACCCGACAGAGATGCCGGATCACGGAGGCGGCCAACCGGTTTGCAGCGGCCCCTGGTTGACGGCGGCGGCGCTGGGGCGACGCGAGGAAGTCGGACGCAGATCGTGGGAGAGAGAGGAAAGAGAAGAAAGGAAAGGAAAAAAGAAAGGAAAGAAAAAAAGAAAGGAAAGAAAAAAGAAAGGAAAGAAAAGAAAAGAAAAGGAAAAAAGAAGGAGAGAAAAGAAAAGGAAAGAAAAGGAAAGGGAGGAAAAATAAAATAAAGTCCAAAAATAATTTATGAAGTAATAAAAATGAATTTCAAGGATTTTTTGAAGCTGACCTGGATCCTGAAGTCTGGGAGAAAGCTTGCTGCTGGAATGCTAGTACGCTAAGGGAATTAATTTGGGGCCTTTTAAAGTTGGGTGCCTTATCCGAAATTTGGAAATCTCCATAAATTGTGGGATTGACAGAATCCACAATTATGACTCCCTGATATGTGAATATTTTTTAATAAGCAGCTGACCTGAACTACTCCCTCTCAGCCGAGTCTACTACTCGACTGAGGGAGTGGGGGACTCGTGATGGGGTTATGGGACCAGGCCCAGAGCCTAATCGGCCCAGGCCCCGAACTTGGACCAGCGGGCCCAAGCCCAGCAACCTAGAGCTCGAGTCGGCCCAACCAATCAGGGCAATCAAGGAGCAGAAGCCCAAGAGAGCATGTCGACCAGCCCAGCGGGGAGCCTGCCTTCCAGCCCAGTGGGGAGCCTGCCTTCCAGCCCAGTGGGGAGCCTGCCTTCCAGCCCAGCTGGGAGCCTGCGGTCCAGCCCAACCGGAAGCCTACCGACCAGCCCAGCTGGGAGCCTGCGGTCCAGACCAACTGGGAGCCTGTGGTCCAGCCTACCCGGGAGCCTGCCTTCCAGCCCAACTGGGAGCCTGTGGTCCAGCCTACCCGGGAGCCTGCCTTCCAGCCCAGTGGGGAGCCTGCCTTCCAGCCCAGTGGGGAGCCTGCCTTCCAGCCTAGCCAGGAGCCTGCCGACCACCAGCCCAGCTAGGAGCCTGCGATCCAGCCCAACTGGGAGCCTGCGGTCCAGCCTACCCGGGAGCCTGCCTCCAGTCCGGTCAGAAGCCTTCCTCCAGCCTAGCGGGAAGCCCACCGTCCAGTCCAGCAGGAGGGAGCTCAAGCGTCCAGCCTGCCAGCCAGACTGACCTGTCAGCCAGGAAGAGTAACGGCCAACAATCAATGCGCGACTTAATTATGTGTTTAATTCTGTATTAACGTTGTAATTAATTTAGTCATTATTATGTTCGGCAGTTACCATTTGTAATCGCCTATAAAAGGCAATTCGAATTTCAAATACAGATATGCTATTTCTGGCTAACTTTCCATATTCGTACTTTCCTAATTCTTGCTTGAGTGTCGTACGTAGCTTTACTAAAAGCCTACGAGCGTCCTATTTTGGACCAACAGATAGCTATTGCAATTTAGGAGCTGGGGTTATTTTTGTCCGTTCAGTCAAAAACAGGTCCTATTTAGGGTTTAAAAACTTAGAGGTCCTATCCGCATACAAAGCCTATGTTTTAGTCCTATTGGAGTCTTTTTCCCTTTTTTATTTTATTATGTACTTTTCATTTTTACTGAGGCGTACTCTTACAATTTAAGTTGTCCGATATTAGGGCAGCCATACCTAATCATTTTGGATTAAATATAATTTGAATTCAATGAGCTGTGTGCTTAGGACTTTTGGGGTTGTGTTTGATTTGGTAGTTGTGGCCTCTTTTTTTAACAATTAGCTTCTTTGTTCACTGTATGTGCTTAGGGTAGCCATAACCTAGCGTTGTTGGGTAAAAGATGATTATTTTGAAATCAAAGTTTGCTTTTTTATACCTAATTCAGGTTGTTACCCTATTTTATTGCACTAACCATTGACATTGTTTGTACTCTGCCCGAAGAAAAACTTAATTGTGTTCTTATGCTCTTTGGGGAACAAACCAAAGGAAAACATAAAGAATACTCTAGATTTGTAAGACATAATTTTAGTAATATTAAATTGGTGAATTTATGTAATTTTTCCATAAGCTATAACTTCACTAACTTTTGTTTTCATTAGGGCGATGCAAGCACATCAAATGACAAAAATAAAAGGAATTCCAAGCCGAAATGGATTAAGCCAATGATAAATGTTGTTTTTATTTATCTTCAAGTTCCATAAGATGTTTATAATTTATATGTTTATGTTATACTACCTCCGTCCCTTAAAACTTTGCCAATGTTGACCTGCAGGGAGAATAATAAAGTAAAAAATGTGTGGTTGAGGTTTGTGCATAGGAGAGAGAAATAACAGAAACCACAAAATAATTGATTAAAAGGGAAAATGGAAAAGTTTTTTGGGACGTCCCAAAAAGAAAAGATGGCAAAGTTTTAAGGGACGGGGGGAGTAATAGATAGTGCTATGTTTGTATAAAAAGTTACATTTCAGCTTTGACTTTGTTGATTTTATGAGTCAAGTGTTCGTTCAAACTGCAGTTTATTATTTCAGTTTGCAGTTTATAGTTGTTTGATTATATTGGGTTATTTCAAAACCTGCTGGAGGAAGAAGATCCAGATCGGTTGACTTCAAAGATATAATTTAGCGAATGAATCCAGAATTCTGGTTTGCCACATTACTAACCCACCCCATATTGTTTTTGGTAGGATGACCACCCGAGCCTTCATGGCTGCTTAAATATGTAAGCAATGGATTATTAGCAACAATTGGTTGTTTTGAGTTGTTTGGTCCTTATATAACTCTTAAGCCCGTATGATCATAGTTTCCGGACAACATGAATCTATCTGTTGGCCCCATCATATCATAGGAGGAGATACCACGCCGTAACTCTTACACTCTGATGCAACACAGAATAAGCTCTTATTGAATTTGCACCTTATTAATAATGTAGTCTGTACTTTATTGATATTTAAGTTCGTTCTTTATTGTTTTGAATTTCAGTTTATTTAATCAACGCTCTGTATCTGTTTTTTTGGACCATGTTGGGTAATGATAAAATTGTCAATTGTGTACTATATACTATAATTCACTTGGTGCCTTATTTATTTGCAGTCTCGAATGCAAATGAGAAGTTTTGAATGTGGATATTATGTTATGAGGCACATGTCCACTATTATTTCTGTCAGTGTTGTGGACTCGTGGGTGGAGGTAATTAATTATTACTCATGTTTCATTATATTTTTGTCTTTATTTCTTTTACTTCATTTTTACTTATTGGTTTAATGTTTTTTTTATCTTGTAGACATTTAGTGAACAAGACATCAACGAGATGCGAGAACGTTGGACATTGTTTTTCTGCGATTCAACTAGCATTTAGTATTTATTTAGTAGAAAATAACCATTGAAACAATGTCGGTTCCAGAACCGACATAAAATGTTGACTTTAACCGTTATAGAATGTGTTTTGCCCACTAGTGCAAGACTCCCGTATTATTAGAAAGTACCAAATTATTCACCACTATAAATGGAGTGACAATAATTAGGCACCACAAAGTGCTAGAGAGTGCGCCGAAGCATTTCATTTCCCTCACGTAGGGTTTAGTTTTCCGCCGGCCGTTATAGGCTTGTGCGGCCAGCCTCACGCATCACATAGGCTTGGTTTATTGGGTCACAAGATTTCCCCCCCTCCGACCGACCTAGGCTTTGTGCGGTTATGAGATTTCAGCCTTGCGCTTTGCAGGCTCTGTCATAGGTTTTTGTTTGCATGTTCATCTTCAACCGCTCAATATGGCACGAAGAAATCATGGATTCCATTGTTAATCGCGTGGTTAGGGTTTAAAAGATGTTGTTTTAAGTTTGGATTTATTTTAATTATCTTGCTCTTGTTTTTATTTTTCGTTTCGAACTGAATGTTGTTTTGGTTGTTTTCTTTATTGCTACTAGCACAACTCTAGAATTTAGGTTGAGTGATGAAAGGTCTATTGCGCCTATTATTGGCTCAGTTAAGCTCATTACATGAGTAACACGTTATATTGCTTTTTAGAGGTGATAGACTTTGAGTTTGGTTCGAGGGCAGACAATCGGAAAAAGACTTTTTCTCTTTTTCATTTTGTCTGAATTCTGATTATTCAATATAAGTCACTTTCTTCCAAAAGCAAATTGTTAGGCATCAAGGATTAGGCACTACATTCTTTAAGTGACTTTTAAGGTAGTGACTAACTGACTAATGTGATTACTCACCCCCATTTATAAATATCGAGCGAGTAATATAGTGCCTAATAAGTAATGAGTATTCCGTATTATTTTTGTAGTGTGCATTTAAAAAGGTTGGTAACACATTCTAATTTTAGTTGATATTTTTTATTGTGATTGTATATGTATGTATAACTAATTTGTGATTTCTTTTACAATTTTTTCAAGTTGACAAAGTTAATTAATGTTGATTGGCACATTTTTATTGTGTTCTATTGCTATTACTAGTTACAAAAATACGATTGTATTATCTCTACAATATTATAAGTGGGAATTTTGTTAGGGGTTAAACGGACATAAAAAAATGTTGGTGGTTCTTGATGCATAACCTCAATGTACCTTATCTTTACATTGGTGTACATCCTTAGACCTGCTAGCACATTTCGGCGTTTCATCCTTACGGAGTCAATCCACAACGTTATAACCTTACGGAGCAAATCCTCAGCTCTTCTACCCCTACTATTTCATTCATTTATTTAATCGTAAACCATCGCCTACTCTCTTCTGTTTCAGCCGCGTTTCAATCGCGGCATCCTCTGCTCCTAATGCCTTCCGGATGGTTTCAAATTCTCAAAGGTCCTCAGACAGTCGATTATGAATAATGTGTCGCGGCTCTTCGGTGGATTTTCCACTTCTTCCCTGTTCTACTCTTGTAAGTGTTTCCTCTATTCAACCAATTTGCATTGTATAGTTACTGTTTTCCGCATCATCTCTGTTTCATTCTACCTGTTTATTTCTCTCTGTGGTTGTGCTGTACGGGCTCCGAACATCGTTTATGGTAGTAGTTTGGATGGCTTGAGTTGATGATTCCATCTTCCAATTGTGTTTATTTTCCTATTTATATTTGTGCAATCTATGTGTTTGTTTAAATGTCCAAATGAAATCAAGTAATTTCCAACTCTCAATCCTCAATTTATACTTGCCATGTTTAATGAGTATATATTACAACATCTACGGTAAAGACTCTTCCTAGGCTTTGCACCTTTCTTGTTCTTAGATCTCTAGGCCACATTGTAATGTATTCTTTTCTGCTTTTTTATCATGCTCTAGCTAAGTTACAAAGCCAGTTTTCTATAAGGCTAGGTTTAGTATAGCTTTGACATTTTGGAGTACTCACATCTTTTTAACCTTTATAGTCTAGCAAAACTAGAAAATAAAGTTTGAATGCATTAGCAGTATTAATGTAGACTACACTGCCCCTGTCACTAAGTTAGTTCTACTTTTGTTCACCATTCAAACTTGAGTTAAAGTCTGAAACTGAGATATTTTTTTAAATGTTTTTAAAAAGTTGCCACTCTTTACTTGTGCTTAGCTGACGTTGTTCTATATGTTGCTCAGCATAGTCCTTCACTAGATCTGGGGAATCGACTTCATGGCTTGCTAAGCTACTGGAATTTATGGATAAAAACTAATTTCATTCCAGCAACAATAGTGAAAATAGCTTCTTTGAGTGCTAATCAAGGTAAAATCAATCATAGCAAAACAAACAATCTGGTTCTTAATAGTGAAAACATGTAATGTAAGTTCTTGTTTGAACCTGTTAGTTGAACACATGCTTCAGGTTGTCATGTACTGAGAAACAGTTCATTCCTTCAAAAAATTTGTAATATCGTTATTAATACGTTAAAATTCGAACCGTGTTGGACTGTTTTTGTGTAACTTGCAATATCTTTTTGCACCCAGGATAACCTCACATTTTCTAAACCAGTTCAAGCCTTTTGGAGTGAAGCACTTTCTAAACCAGCTCAAACATTTTCTAAACAAGTTCAAGCATTTCCTAATTTAGTTAGTGATTTGTGAAAACACTTTCAAGCATTTCCTAAGACCTTATGATTTCATGTTTATTTCAATTAATTTGCTGTCCGGTGTTATATGTGCTTGCAACTACAATTTTTTAAGAAGTATATCTCTATTTTTTTTTTCAAAAAATTTTATGAACCGCCCCATACACAGGAAAGAACACTCATTTTCAAATATCATTTTCCAGCACAATAACACTAGTAGAAAAAGGGCCTATAGTGACACTAATTTAGCGTCGCTGAAACTTTCAGCGACACTTAAAAAGCGTCGGGGAAAGTGGCGGCTAGCAACACTAAATATAGTGTCACTGATGCGGGGACGGTTTTGTGTCAGCAAATAATGACACTAATTTATCGTCTAAAATAGTGACATTTATGCATCAAGAACACATTGTGACATTAATACATCATAGATTGTTATGACACTTTCAGCATCATAGATTTTTATGACACTTTCGGCATCATAGATTTTTATGACACTTCAATGTCACTTGGTTGGTTTTGTTTATTGGGCCTATATAGGGCTAGATAATATGCCCGTGGTAGCTTTAGTAGAATTCTAATTTAATGTTTACTTCATTCATAAATATTATACGGAGTAACATCCAAAAATTAATGGATACCCAAAACACATCATCTAACATATAATATTCAGTAACACTTTCACATTCTTGTTCAATTATATTTCCTACCGCCGGATAAAAAAAATAGCAAAATTCTAGCAAGATTCCCGCAAAAAACCAGCTATTGAATTCAACAAAAAAACTACTACCAAGCATCATTGAAGATGCTAAAATACAAACAAGTCACATTCCCAACAGGTACCAATGTTTAGTTATCAAAAGTGTGACCTCCCTCTACATTCTACATACATAACATAACATAACAACGATCATTCTAACCGCCATCAACAATTTTATCTGAAATGCATCTCCCCATGCATGTCATCAAGCCTTTGTAGAATCAGCTTGCACACTACATATCAAACAAAATATAATATTACATCCATATATTATGAAACTTATTTTCGGTAAATTTTAAATGTGAACTTACTTTTTTATCAAAGTAGCAGCATACAAAGCCCACTCCTCACGCACATGTAAAATATCATCTTCAGTATACTCCTTGACAGTAGAGATTGAATAAGCATGTAACTCATTAAGTATAATGCCCTCTTTTCAAAGCTGAGCACATGAAGGATTTTATACCATTAGGGGAGTAGATGCTAAGGTGGATGGGAACATGAGAAATTTGTTTTGATTTCCCTATGATTCTATCTGTTTCATCCGGAATTTCCTTGCGTACTATGGCTAAAGAAGATATATTAGACAGTCACACTACCAAGTCCATCTTACTATTAGAGTTACAGAATAAGCCCTAAAAGCTAATGCATTTTAGAACAATATAAATAAGAGTTACTTAAAATGATTTTTTTTTGAAATAATAAGACTGCATGCTGATAGGTGCTAAAGATGACTATGTTATTTTTTAATTTTAATAAAAACAGTCTATTTTGTAACATCTTATACAAATAAACTCTTTTAAAATCAAGTGAAAACAAATGATAGATTAACTGATTGATCAACCAGAAACACCATGTTTCGTTTGTCTGTCTTTGTATGTGACATCTTCTTTTTATATAAAATAGGTCTTTTTGTAATGCAGTGTCAGGCATTTTAGATATTAACTAGCGTTTATAATAAATTTAACTTTTTTTTTTTGAATTCTTGATTCGAATTATGGTATGTTGGAGTGAGACTGAGAAATAAGATACATGTGATACTCTGGGTTTGAAGTCCAAACTTCCACTTTTTGCTAAATGGATTTTACGCAATAAACTAAAATAAACTCTAGAGACTTTATTTGTTGTTGATTAAAAATGGCAGAATGTTAGACAAGTTAAAAACATTCTAAACTGTTGCAATGTATAGGGAAAGGTATGCAATATGAAACAACTAAATTAAGGAAATTTGCATGAATAAGGTTGACTTTTTAGTTTTATAAAAAGAGTATGTTTTATAACATCTTCGTTTTAAAAAATAACGAGCCTCTTTTTGAATCAAGTGCAAGCAGGAAGGTGCTATGTGGCACATCTCGCCCATGAAGTAAATCATCGCACCCAAGTCCAACAAATTGGGATATAATCAATAGATTCATTTTCGGGAGTGGTTCATCCTTCCCGAACGCAGCATACAATTATTCGTTGTACTGCGCTCCCAGAGTGAAGGGAACACTCATTTTGAAATATCATTTTCCAGGGCAATAAAGTGAAGGCAATGGCATACGGTAATAAAAAATAGGGAAAACTGTCAATTACACCCTCGTACTATGGGCGAATCCTCAATCGAGTCCTCCTACTTCGACAACCTTCAATTGAATCCGCCAAGTCTCCAAAATCAATCAATTAGGTCTACATTACCGGTTGGTTCCCGGTTTGCCGGTTGCTTGCCTTCAATTGATTTTTTTTTATTTTTTTTCTTCTCTTTTCTTTTTTCTTTTTCTCTTCCTCTTCTCTTTTCTCTTTCTTTCGTTCTTCCTGGCCGGTTCCTCCAGCCACCACCTGTACCCTCTGAACTCCACCTCCGCTGTCTCCCCGATCCTCTCCTCTTCGAACCCACCATCGACTTCGATTTCTGCACCAGCTTCATCCCAGAAATCGTCCCCGGCGGACGAGCTCTTGTCTGCAAATCCTGAGCCGGAGCTGTAGCCGGGAACTCCCGCGTCGCCGGTTCCGCCCCAAACGGCAAGCCCTCTGCTCCGCCGCCGCAGGCAGAGGCCGCCCGGAAGCAGAGATCCAGACCGGAGCCGTTCCTATCGCGTTCAGTTTCGTCAGTACTATTCAACACTCATAGACATGACCATTTGATGCCATCAAAGAAGACCATGAACAGCCCATTGAAGAAGAGCTGTAGCTTCAGATCTTCTGGGTATGGAGTTAGAGTCAATTACCGGCAAACCGGGAACCAACCGGTAATGTAGACCTAATTGATTGATTTTGGAGACTTGGCGGATTCAATTGAAGGTTGTCGAAGTAGGAGGACTCAATTGAGGATTCACCCATAGTACGAGGGTGTAATTGACAGTTTTCCCTAAAAAATAAGCCCTTAAAATTTAATACATTTTAGAACAATATAAACACGAGTTACTTAAAATGATTTTTTTTAAATAATCAGGCTGCGTGTTGATAGGTGAGATAATAGTTCTGGTTGTTATCTTCATCTTCAGTTATATCTCTTTGTTTTAAGTTAATAAAACAACCACGCCCTCCAAAAATGCCCTCCAATATGACGATCAGAATGTATTTTTTTTGTTTTAATTCCTCGATTTAGTTCATCGTGCTTTAGGTAAGACCGCATACATCTGACCCCTCCCATCCCACCGTAGATAGAATCCTTTACGGCACTGGAGTAATGATAATGATAAATATTAATGGTGAGTAGTGGTGTCAAACATCTATTTTATTACATCATCTTAGTCTTACAAAGGCGTCCTCCTCGAGCATAAAAAGTTGACCTTAAATATTCTCACCATTATCTCAGGCATATTGGTTTAACATAATAGTACCCTAATCTTTTTACATGCCCATATTAATCAGTCTTGACCTAGATAAAGCACATCTTGACTTGATCTTTTTTATTTCATTTTCTCAAATGATTGATGATGAAATGGTTACTGGATATGAACCACATGATGAGGTTCTGAATTCGGACTTGGAACAACAAATATTCAAAGCAATAGATCCACCATTCTTTTGCAGTTGGTTTGTGGTTTAATGACCTTAACATATATTATGCATTGATGAAGTGGTTTACCATGTAATATTGTCCCACTCATGGAAAGTGAAACATAAAACAATTCTTCATTTTACTCAAATGATGAATGTCTTCTTTGGGAGGTCTGCATCCACCAACGTGTACAAAGAGGCCAGTGTAATGATAAGGTTGTGAAGTTATTGGTGCAGCTTAAGTTTTTCTTCACGTGACTTTCAATGTATTAGAGTATTAGACCTTGATAAATATTTAACTGTTTTTTCAAGCAAAAACATTTTTGTCTTTGTTATAACGCGTTTTCATATAACAATACAGATGCATGCAAGTATTTGATGTGAACCTTACACCTATTATGATTATTATAGTCATCTTGATTGCTTTATTTTCCCACATGAAATCTAGCATACAAATACTTTATTGATTAAGATTTTTAATTTATCAATACATAACAAACTATGCATTCAAATATTGTATTCATATTACTTTTATTGACTCAAACTATATCGAGGAATTAATATCTATATTTGTACAATAGCCTTGGGCATTACCACGAACGCGCAACGCGCGTTAGTGAACTAGTGCTCTTCATAAAACCAATCCTAACATACCTCTACGTTCCTATATAAAAGCCCCTATTCGCTTTACACACAATTTAAGAAAGTAGAATTCATTGATATGTTTAACACTGTTTTTCACTATTTTATTTGACAAAAATGTAAAAATGACTTTTATTTGTGGACGTTACGTTAGCGTACACCTAACATTTTTTATTATGAAATTACCGTCCAGGAACATTTTATAACTTGATTTGTACTAACTACAAACACTTTTCTTAAAAAAATTGGTACGTTAGCGTACATCTAACATTTTTTTATTATGAAAGAAATGGTCACCCCAACGTTTTGTTCCGTCTACATTTCAACGCTCAAATCAAACATAAAAAATGAAATAAAGCCCTGCACTTGTTTGTTGAACACTCCATACGACTAGTAGAAATATAAGAAAACATTTTTACTGGAGCAATTCCCCTTCTCTCTGCATTTCTGTTCTATTGCTATGATCCTGACTTTGTAGATCTCTGCGGAGTGCACAACCCACACATTGATCGTTGATTATGAGTTCGGCGGAGCAAGTGATCGACGCCGGCGGTTCAGGGACGATGTACGTGCAGATGCAATCCGAGTCTTCCACGTCGCCTTTGATGACCTCGTCGTTGTTGACACCTCAGCAGCAGCAGAGATCTGAGGCGGCTCGGATTTTTCAGGAGTTGCCCAAGGCTACCATCGTCCAGGTGTCTCGTCCAGACGTCGCCGATATCAGCCCCATGCTCCTTACTTACACAATTGAGTTTAAATACAAACAGGCAATACTTCTGCGCTTGATTCAATTCATTGTCAGATCGCCTTTCATGCATGTGAATTGGAAACCAGAACCGTCAAGTGTCGATCTCATTAAACAACTACTCTGGTGTGAAATAAGGGATCGTTGAGTATATTGGCTAGTATTCAGTGTTTTAGTTTTTCAGTTTGGGTATACCATTTTAAAAGATATAATATGTTGTATAACGAACTCAAGAGTTATACGACCTATACATACGAAGCTAATGTTCAAAGAGCCTAAGAAAGAGCTAAAACAACATTTTCAGGTTTTCACAACTTCACATTTTTCAAGAAAAAACTATAACGAAATCTCAAACAGGTAATAAAAAGTTAACTTCAGAATTTTAGGCTCTATAATTTGGTTTATTTATTTACTTTACTTTGTGATAGTCCGCACAAAGAAATCAACTTTATTTCTTCTGGTTTTCAGAATCTTGGGTTCCAATGGAACTTCAAGTTGCGGTCACTGTGGTCAATATCTACTAAACTTCAATCTTTCAATCTAAATTACTCCACATTACTTTTGTAAACTAAACATGGGTTAGCATAAGGTCAGGTATGGCAGTGGAACATTTATTCAATTTTTTTCATGATGTGGGGGACAGCATAACATGTTTGATGTGCTAACAAAATTTTCAGTCCTCATGAATAACAATTTAACTATGAACCAAGAACTGGTGGATGTAGTTATGTAGAAATCCATAATTGGTTTTGTGCAAATTGATGAGAGTTCCTTCTACCCAGTTGTCATTTCCCTCGTATTTTATGAAATAGCAGCTTTTTCACCTTGTTACGCATAAAAACAAAAACGAACGAGAAGTTAACTTTTTTGGTAGAGTGTTAACCCATGGTTACTGTTGACCAACAAACAACATATTTTTACATCCTTGAAACATTAACAGAGTAACTAGGGTGGGCATATATATTGTTGAATGTATATCAACATGTATACACTTTGATTTCACTAGCTCTAAGCATCCAGATGTGGTCATGAAATATATGATTCAACATCTGCATAATTCTATGACTGCTATAGTATTTTCAACATTCCTGATTTTTAGGTTGAATCCCTTTTGCATTAAGTAGAAGATTCTGAGGTGCTGAAGTATATAGCATACTATTTTTTATAGATGTGGCTTTAGCGCTGTACTGAAATTTGTTATTTGATGTCTGCAATGCATCATTGTTCTGTTCTGCAGTTCAAATGGCAATTAGTCAAGAAGGCTTCACAAGTGTTTTATTTACATTTTACGCTAAAGAGGCGGCTATTTATTGAGGAAATTCATGAGAAACAAGAACAGGTACTATATGATTTTCTATCAGTATATGGTAACCAATGTTTGCAATAGAATTGTTCTACTGTGATTAGTTTTAAGTAATATTACAGTCTATAATAGTTCCCTGTTATAATGGTGGTGACTCTTTTTTGTGGCATTTCATTTTATTTTACAGGTCAAAGAGTGGCTTCAAAATTTAGGAATCGGGGAAATCATACCTATCATGCAAGATGATGATGATCCAGATGATGAAAATCTTCCATTGCGTACTGATGAAAGTGCAAGAAACAGGTGATTGTTAATTCTTTCGCCTCTCTTCTCAGAAGGAAAGCATGAGATCCGCTGTTGCCCTTTTAATACCTGTCATTCTTACAGGTGGTTTTTTGTTCAGAGATGTGCCATCTAGTGCTGCTTTGCCAATAATCCGCCCCACACTTTTAAGACAACATTCTATGTCAGACAGAGCAAAAGTAGCAATGCAGGGGTACTTGAATCACTTTCTTGGAAACATAGATATTGTCAATTCCCATGAGGTTTGTATACTATCTTAATACTCAGTATTTTCTTGTGCATTAGTCTGGTGAATATTGAATAATGATTGTAGCAGACTAGCTCGTGCACTATCATATCCGGCCAGGCAGCCACATATGTGGAAGGCAAACCAATATGCAAGCTTATATCTATTTTCACAGGGGAGGAATTGGGGATCTTTTACATGCTATGCATGACATCACTGTCACCCATCACGCATATAAGTTTTAGCTCAGTTCATAATTTAATAACCAGCTCAAGCTGAACCTGAGCTCAAATTTGATTGGACGTGACTCAAGCTTTTAGCTTTTGCCTAGTGATTGACTTGTCTGCACCCCCATTGTCGAGCAGCACTTAGGTCATTGTGTTAGTTTTGTAAATTGAGAAGATGTTTTTACATTTCGGTCAATAGTTTATTAACTTTATTTACCAGAAATATTTTCTGGATAACCTTATAATTCCAGCTTTAACTTCATGACTGACATGCATTAGGTTTGCAAGTTTTTGGAGGTTTCAAGTTTATCCTTCTCTTCAGAGTATGGTCCTAAGCTCAAGGAAGATTATATTATGGTAAAGCATTTACCCAAGATACGAAGCAGTGATGACCATAGGAAATGTTGTTCATGTAATTGGCTCTGCTGCTGTAAAGACAACTGGCAGAAGGTAGCATGACATCCTCTTGAAATCCTGAGTCCTGGCTGAAAGAAAGATACATGTTTGATCTGATTTTTCTTGTACTTTATAACTATATACTATGTATCTGTTAGTCCTTAATACATCTCATTTTAATGCATGACATCCGTCCTATGAATAGTTATTTGAATCCGGGATTTCTTTTCGTCAATTTCCATAGCTAAAGTTATGTGTTGATTTATTTATGAAGAGATGGGCCGGGCATTTTTTTATTGTGATGGTGCAGTGCAATGAAGCTATTTAGGTGATTTATTTGCATGATTAGATGGTGTTGCTAACAGAGATGATAATGACTGTTGCCTTTACTATGTGTGCTTATGGTGGGCTGCAATATCAGTTTACCACGTTAATTTCTCATCAATAATGAATGTTCTATAACTATTTTCATTTGTATGTTTTATTACCCAACAAATGTATGTGCCAAAAGATGTACTCGTAGTGCTGTTGTTTAAATTTTATATGTGATTTATAGCATGAACATGAGTATGTCATGATTTTTTTAGATTTATGCTGTTACTTTCATCTCTAGTTATCAAAGCTTTTGATTATTTACAGGTCTGGGCTGTACTGAAACCAGGATTCCTGGCCTTCCTTAAGGATCCCTTTGATACTCAGCCTTTAGATATAGTTGTTTTTGATGTGCTGCCTGCCTCTGATGGTAATGGAGAGGGTAGATTATCATTGGCAAAAGAAGTGAAGGATGGCAACCCTTTACGTCATTATTTTAGGGTAATAAATGTACAAGCTTCTCTAAGTGTTCTTTGCCGATTATAGTATGTTCTCTACTTTGTTTGGATCTGAACATTGAAGTGAAAGTTGCAAATGTAGTTGGCCGGGGATGAATCATAGATACTTCCTTGGCGTTTCTGTGGAACTATTGTTTCTCATTCTTTCATTGCACTCCCAATGACCCAATCAAAGCTGAATCCAAATATTTACTGCAACAACAACAACAACCGAACTGCAATTCTAATTGAATGGGATCGTCTACATGAACCAAGAGATCACCCTCTGAGGACATCTGCAAATATGGTCCATCTTCCACTCTTTTCTGTTTTACCTCAAATGGTAATGAAATTCCAGCGTCATAATATCCATCTCACAACCTCGATCCATGTCACTTTTGATTTAGCTCACATCCTTTTTAGATATCTGTCGTTCTAATGACCTACTCTCAGTATTGGAGCACATACCTTTGGACGTCAAATATTCCCCAAGCAACATCATTGTTTCTCTTTACATTAATTGTCCACTCTTTTCTGTCATAATGAAGATCTAGCACCTTAATATCCATTTTACACCCTCGATTCATTTAACTTTCAATCGACCTCACCTCCTTTTTAGATCTCTACTGTTCTAACACTTCACTGTCTGCACGGGAGCCATACATTTGGATGTCATTGCATCAATTTCCCCAAATAACATAATTGGTTTTCTATGTACATTCTGTTGTTGTAGCTTGAGCACTCCCACCTTTCATGGATCTCTTTGTTGTGAACTTCATTTTTTCCAGTATCTTTATGTTAAGTATCTAGCTAATTACAGAGAGATTTGTAGGAGAATGTAGGAACGAAGATGAACAGTAGAGAATAGAAGGTAATTCGATTAACAGAATAGAGAGAAAATGTCCTGACAGTTAAAGAGATGTCAACTCTCCAGTCCCAGCCAACTACCAAATAACAGCCTGCCTGATTCTTCCTATAGCTAACTATTTATAGAAGTCCACCCGACCCCTAATTACAACTCCCAGCTACTTATTATTCCCTTTCCTTCTAGAATACACTTTGTCATAATAGCTAATACTATTATTATTATTAAGAGGCTGACTTCCTGTGACTTTAACATCACCCCCCTGGAACTACCACCTTGTCCTCAAGGTGGAAGTCAGGAAATCGCCTCTGAAACTGTTGCAGCTCCTCTCAAGAATCTTCAAATTCTGGCATATTCTTCCAATGCACCAAAACTTCAGTTCTCCCAATTGAGTTGATTCTGCTTTCCTTTATTTCTTCTGGCCAGACTTGTAGTTCCCATTCTTCTGAGAGGCACTTAGGTAAAGGTTTGTGTCTGTACAGCAGTAGATACTGTTTTCTTCAATAGTGATACATGGAACACTGGATGCACTCTACAATCTTCAGGCAACTTCAATTTGTAAGCCACATGATTGATTTTCTCAATGATTTCAAAAGGCCCATAAAATCTAGGGCTCAACTTCTGATTACTTCTTCTGGCTAGAGTCTTTAACTTGTAGGGCTGAATCTTCAAATATACCCTTTCCCCTACAGTCAGCTGAATCTCCCTTCTCTTCTTATCAACTTGTTGTTTCATTCGATTTTGTGCAATAGCCAGATTGCTTTTCAGTTCATCTATCATTTCATTCCTTTCAGCAGTCAATCTATCCACCTCCTCCACCTCCTCCACTGCTGTTAAGGCAACATCACCTCTGATTAGAACAGGTGGATCCTGTCCATAGAGTGCTTTGTAGGGGCTGTTTTTAGTAGACACGTGAATACGTGATGGTGTTATACCGGAACTCAGCCCAAGGTAGCCACTTGGGCCACAGCTTTGGCTTCATCCGAGTCATACATCTGAGGTAGGTTTCCACACATTTGTTAACTACCTCAGTCTGACCATCAGTTTGGGGATGGTATGCAGTGCTATATTTGAGTTTGGTTCCAGCTAACCTGAATATTTCAGTCCAAAATGAGCTTAGGAAAACACCATCCCTGTCAGAAACTATGGTTTTAGGGAAATCATGCAACCTGACCACTTCTTGTAGAAATATCTCTGCCACACCTTTAACATTATATGGATGTGATAATGCTATGAAATGAGCATATTTTGTCAACCTGTCCACCACCACTAGATTAGTGTCTTTCCCCATTGCTTTTGGCAATCCTCGAATAAAGTCCATCCTTAAGTCGGTCCAAATCTGGTTAGGAATGGGCAGGGGTTGCAGCAACCCTGGTGGGTTTAATGTTTGATGCTTGTAACTCTGGCATACCTCACAATTTTGAACAAAACTCTGAATGTCCTTCCTCATCCCTTCCCAATAGAATAGATTTGAGATCTTTCATAGTTTTGAAACTTCCTGCATGTCCACCCACTGCTGACTCATGAAACTCTTTTTAGGATAGAAACTTTTCTATTAAAATTTCTGGGAATGACCAATCTGCCTTTGTAATATCATAACCCCTTCTGTACTTTGAAATCTGGCAAGGATTCAGGCTGTCCCCAGAGTGTTTTTATGATTTCTTTGTACTTGTCATCCTCCAAAAGCTCATTTTCCAAAGCCTCCATTCCTGACAGGTTATGACTGAGAGAGAGTAGAATCCCCCTTTTCTGGAAAGAGCATCTGCAGCTTTGTTCTCTTTTCCTGGTTATATTTAATGATAAAATTGAATCCCAAGAGTTTAGTGACCCACTTCTGCTGATCCTCCCCCAATGATCTCTGCTCTGTCAAAAACCTCAAACTCTTTTGATCTATATGCACCTCAAACCTTCTTCCCAACAAATAGGATCTCCATTTCTGTATAGCCAATACAATGCCCATCAGTTCTCTCTCATAAACTGATTTATTTTGATTTCTAGTTGATAAGGTTTTGCTCATGTAAGCTATGGGTTTGCCCTCCTGCATCCACTCCTTTTCCAGAAGCATCTACTTCTATTACAAAAATCTTGCTGAAATCTGGAATTTGCAGTACTGGCATTCTGGTCATAGCTTGTTTTAGTTCCTTTACCCCTTAACAAACCTTCTGTAATAACCTGTGAGCCCCAAGAACCCTCTCAGTTCCTTTACATCCTTAGGTCTCTCCCAGTCATGTCCTGTACCTTACTGGGATCTGCCTCCACACCTTCTCCAGATATAATGTGGCCCAAATAAGCCAACTTCTATTGCCCAAATGCACACTTTTTTCTGATTGACCACCTATTGACTTTTCTTCAAAGTTTGCATCACTTTCTTTACATGTTCAATGTGTCCCTCTTCTGTCTTGCTATAGATCAATGTAGAAAAATGTAACATGTATTTGTTATTTTAATTTTATGTACATCCGGAACTGTATAGATAAGACTTAGAGTAGATAGAACTCTTTAAATAGTAGATAAGCTCGCAGAATAGATAGATCCTATTATTTAGGATCTGTAACAACTAGGCTTTATCTGTAACTTGTATATATATCATTGCCGGATGGCCCAATAATATTCAAGGAAGATTAACTCTTCAAACCTACATGGTATCAGAGCCTCGGTTTAAACAACACAATGGTAGAAACCAGTGATGCTGATTCCTCACACACTATCAACCCTAACTCTCAAATTAGCCCTATGACAAATTACCAATCTCCTATTCATTCATCTATGATAATCACTAGTCATAGATTGAATGGAACAAACTATCTGGAATGGTCTCAATCTGTTAGACTTGCAATTGGTGGGAGAGGAAAGCTAGGTTACATCATAGGAGAAATCAAACCAAAACTACCTGCAGAAGAAGGTTACAGTACATGGAGGTCAGAGAATTCACTCATAACATCTTGGCCTCTCAACTCCATGGAGCCCTTAATTGCCAAACCTCATATGTTTATGAAAACTGCAAAGGAGGTATGGGACTATATTAAGGAAACTTATTCAGATCTTGAGAACTCTTCTCAAAATTTTGAACTCAAAACCAAGCTGTGGCAATCTAAACAAGGAAATAGGGATATCATTTCATACTACAATGAAATGGTATCTCTGTGGCAAGAATTAGATCAATGTTATGGTGATGAAGAGTGGAAGAGTGCTAAGGATTTGGCCAGACATGAGAAAAGAGAAGAAAATGACAGGGTCTATATGTTTCTAGCAGGGATCAATAGGGACCTAGATGAAGTAAAAGGCAGAATACTGGGAAAGAAACCTCTGGCCCCAATCAAAGAGGTCTTTTCTGAGATCAGGTTGGAAGATAGCAGGAGGAGGGTCATGTACAACACTCCAGTACCTAATGAGGAACCTCGGGACTCTTCAGCTTTAGTTGCCAGAAGTGATGACAAGAAAAAACCTTGATGTGATAACTGCAAGAAATTGTGGCACACAAGGGAAACATGCTGGAAACTTCATGGAAAACCACCAGGAGTTGGAAAGAAGAAAGTTGAAAGGGCCCTACAAACTACTGTGACTGAGACTCAACAAGAGTCAGGAGTTGAATCTAAACAACTGCCTTTCACACAGGAACAGATAGAGTACCTACTCCAATTTATACCCACCCAGAAAATCTCCAACCAAGAAAAGCCTTCATGTTCTTTTGCCCAAAATGGTAAAATAACATCATTTTTTTGTTCTGAAAAACCAAAAAGTACCTGGGTCATTGACTCAGGTGCAACAGACCACATGACCTACATTCCAAATCTCTTTTCTTCATATCAACCTTGTGCAGGAGATAAGAAAGTTAGAGTTGCAGATGGCTCTTTTTCAGCCATAGCAGGGATGGGAAATATTAAAATTTTCTCATCCATTAACCTTTCTAAAGTCTTACATGTTCCTAAACTTTCCTGCAATCTTATCTCTATTAGCAAAATAACCAAAGACCTTCAGTGTTGTGTAAAGTTTTATCTTTCTTATTGCATTTTTCAGGATCTGGCATCGGGGAGGATGATTGGCAGTGCTAGAGAGGAGGATGGCCTATATGTTTTTGATGAAGGAACACAATTGAATAAACAAGGTCAAGAAAAAACTTGTCTGCAAACTATTTCCTTTCCTTGTAATAATGAAGTGTATTTAATGCACTGTAGATTAGGTCACCCAAGTTTTTCCTATCTAAAGAGGTTGTTTCCTAAGTTATTTCATAATAAAAATCCTTCATCATTTCATTGTGATATGTGTGCACTTGCCAAACATCATATGAGCTCTTATATCCCTCATAGTTACAAACCAACTAGTCCTTTTACTATCGTACACAGTGATATTTGGGGTGCATCTAGAGTTTCAACTTTGAAAGGAAAAAGGTGGTTTGTAACTATCATAGATGATCACACACGGGTCACATGGGTTTTTTTTATTAAAGAAAAATATGAGGTTGAAGATGTGTTCAAGAAATTTTACTCAATGGTTCAGACTCAATTCAATACTAATATCAAGATTGTGAGAAGTGATAATGGCCTTGAGAGTATTTTTCTAAGAATTTAAATAATTTTTTTGCTGAAAAAGGGATTATTCATCAAAGTTCCTGTATAAATAAACCTGCTCAGAATGCTGAGAAGAAAAATAGGCATTTGCTTGAAGTCATTCTTGCAATTATGTTTTCTGCTGGAGTTCCAAAATATTTATGGGGAGAAGCTGTTTTACATGCTATCTATTTAATTAATAGGATGCCATCAAAGACTCTAGGATTTTAAACTCCCATTGATACACTTCAAGCCAGTTTTCCTGAAACTAGGCTTATCAACTTCTCTTCCCATAAAAATTTTTGGCTGCACAGTTTTTATTACCAAACCTGACAGAACTGCAAGCAAATTTGATTTAGAGGCAAAAAATGTGTTTTCTTAGGACTATCTTCAACACAAAAAGGCTATAAATGTTTTGACCCTACAACAAAAAAGATGTTTGTAACAATGAACACTGTTTTTGTTGAAAATCAACCTTTTTTTAAGTACTCATCTTCAAGGGGAGATTCCTAATGAAGATGGTAATAATGTGTCACATATCCATGAAAAACTTGAATTTCTTGACATTAGTCTAGATGCACAATATAATAGACAGTTAGATGCACTAGAAAATAGTCAAGAATCAAAAGAAAATGAAATAAAATTTTCTGAGACAAGGAAAGATGATGAACAACAGACAAGTAATTTTTTTGGCAAGGTTTATGAAAGGAGAGTTTCAAATCAAAGAATAGAGGACATCTCTGATCCTGCCACTGCTCATGAATCTGACTCAATGTCAGAAAATGAAAAAGGTAATAATTCTAGTGATCTAAATCTACCCATTGCTCTTAGAAAAGAAAAAAGATCATGTGTTAAATACCCTATCTCAAACTGTGTCTTATTCTCACTTATCTGCATCATTTTCAGCCTTTACCTCTAGCCTTTCCACTGTTTCTATTCCCTTAACCATACAGGAAGCTCTATCTAAACCTGAGTGGAAGAAGGCTGTTTTAGAGGAAATGAATGCTCTTGAAAAGAATCAGACATGGCAGGTTGTGGAATTACCCAAGAACAAACCAACAGTGGGATGCAAATGGGTATTTACCCCTAAATTCAAGGCAGATGGTATACTTGAAAGATATAAGGCCAGATTGGTTGCCAAAGGATATACACAAACCTATGGCATAGATTATACAAAAACTTTTGCTCCAGTTGCAAAATTAAATACTATAAGGATCCTTCTATCTCTAGCTGCTAACCTAGACTGACCTCTTCAACAGTTAGATGTGAAGAATGCTTTCTTAAATGGGAAGCTTGAAGAGGAAGCATACATGAGTCCCCCTCCTGGGTTTGAGGGGCAGTATGGCACAAAGATGTGCAAGCTGGAGAAAGCCTTATATGGACTTAAACAGTCCCCAAGGGCTTGGTTTGACAGGTTTACTCAATTCATAAAGAGGCAGGGATTCAAGCAAGCCCAAACAGATCATACACTATTCATGAAGTTCTCAAGTAAGGGAGAGATTGCAGTGTTAATTGTTTATGTGGATGATATCATTCTTACAGGAGACTATTATAAAGAAATTGAAGACCTGAAGAAGAAGCTGGCTCAGGAATTTGAGATCAAAGACCTGGGAGAATTGAAGTACTTTCTTGGCATGGAGATAGCCAGATCAAAGAAGGGAATTGTGGTATCTCAGAGGAAGTATGTACTAGACCTTCTCCATGAAACCGGTATGAGTGCCTGCAGACAAATAGATACTCCAATTGATCCTAATCAAAAGTTAGGAGATGTCAAGGAAAGAGTACCAGTTAATGTTCAGCAATATCAAAGATTGGTGGGAAGATTGATTTATCTGGCACATACAAGGCCACATATTGCCTTTGCAGTTAGTATGGTTAGCCAATTCATGCATAATCCATTCCAGGAACATCTAGATGCTACCTACAGAATCCTAAGGTATTTGAAAAGCTGTACAGGGAAAGGATTATTTTTTTTAAAAGGTGACAATAGAAGTGTGGAAGCCTTTACAGATGCAGATTATGCTGGGTCAATAACTGATAGAAGGTCTACATCTGGGTATTGTACCTATGTATGGGGGAATCTAGTGACTTGGAGGAGTAAGAAGCAGAATGTGGTTGCTAGAAGTAGTGCAGAATCTGAATTCAGATCTATGGCTAATGGAATCTGTGAACTACTTTGGATCAAGAGAGTGATTTCAGAGTTGAATATGAAATTGGAACTACCTATGAAGTTATATTGTGATAATAAGGCAGCCATTAATATTGCTCACAACCCGGTGCTACATGATCGTACTAAACATATTGAAGTGGAGAGACACTTTATCAAAGAGAAGATTGAAGCTGGAATTGTGTGTACACCATTCATATCTACCAAAGAACAAACAGCTGATATCTTTACAAAGGGGTTGTTCAAACCAGTATTTGAACTACTTATAAGCAAGTTGGGAATGTATGATATATACTCACCAACTTGAGGGGGAGTGTAGAAAAATGTAACATGTATTTGTTATTTTAATTTTATGTGCATCCGGAACTGTATAGATAAGACTTAGAGTAGATAGAACTCTTTAACTAGTAGATAAGCTCGCAGAATAGATAGATCCTATTATTTAGGATCTGTAACAACTAGGCTTTATCTGTAACTTGTATATATATCATTGCCGGATGGCTCAATAATATTCAAGGAAGATTAATTCTTCAAACCTACAATCAAGATATCATAAAAAAAACTAACACAAACTTCCTTAGATATGGTCTCAACACTTGATTCATCAAAGCTTGGAATGTAGGAGCATTGGTGAGACCAAAAGGCATGACTAGATATTCATAGTGGCCTTCATGTGTCCCGATAGCTGTTTTATGAATATCTTCTTCTTTCATCCTGATTTGATGGTACCCAGACTTCAAATCCAGTTTAGAAAATATCTGTGCCCCTCCCAGTTCATCCAAAAGTTCTTCTATGATAGGAATATGAATTTTTTCAGGAATTGTGATTTTATTTAGGGCTCAGTAATCTCCACAAATCCTCCACCCTCCATCTTTTTTCTTCACCATTAGCAGTGGACTACTAAATGGACTGGTACTAGGCCTGATGATGCCTGTTTTCTACAGCTCCTGCACAATCTTTTCTATCTCATTCTTTTGGTACTGAGGATATCTGTAAGGTCTAATGTTTGGAGGGTTTGCACCTTCTTTGATAGTAATGACATGGTCACAATCCCTTTTTGGTGGTAAACCCTTTGGAGGTTGGAACACCTCAGCAAATTCTGTGACAACTTCCTTCATCCATGGATTTTCTTTTTCTTCCTTCACCTTGTTTTCAGTTACTGCAGTACTGAACAAACAATAATAACCCTCTCCTTGCTCTTGAATATATTTAATTATGGATTTGAAAGAAGCTTGGTTTCTCCTGAGATTGGTAGCTTCCCATTACTTTCCCTTTTTCCTTCCATTTAATAGTTAGCTGATTGAAGTTAAATTCAACATTTCCCAATCCTGCTAACCATTCTAGCCCCAAAACCATCTCTGTCTCACTCAATTCCAAGACATAAAAGTCTTGAATGAGTTAGTTTCTTGTATGTTCAGAGAAACAGCTTCACATCTCCCATCATTTCTGATAATGTCTCCATTTCCTATCTCCACCTTTAATTCTGGAATCTGGAGGACAGGTAATCCTGAACCCTTATGAGATGGTTTACTCCCTTTGCTGCTCCTTAATTTTCTTTTCAACTTAAAAGTCTTAGGAGTTGTGATCCCTTCTTTGCTCATGAGAGATAACTGCATATTAGAAAGGTCTGTTTCTTCCAAATTTGGAACAGATTCCATTGAATTATTCCCCAATTCATCTAACATGATGATCTGAAAGTGTTTCATCTTACAAATGTGACCTTTACTCCACTGTTCCCCACATTTGAAACAAAGGCCTTTTCTGCTCAACTCTTGTAACTCAGATTGAGATAATCTGTGTGTGTCCCTTATTCCAGATTCTTTAGTTATTGTTTCCTTTGGTTTTTCCATGACAGCCTTCCCATAATTGGACTGGTTGTTCATATTGGCCTTCCATTTATTCTCATCCACCCACCTGTGATTCTGTGATGAAGCATACCCTTTTTCCTTCAATCCCCTTCTATCATTATTAGAAATAGAGCAAGGTAGAAGAAAGGAATGAAATCATCTTATTGAAAAATAGAAAGTGTACAGAGTATTTATAGAAGCTATGGTTGTAACTAACTGCAGTTAATATAACAGAAGCCCAACTAATACTAATTACAAAGCAATGTACGTGTAGCTTTTATATACTATTCCTAACATTCCCCCCTCAAATTGAGGGTGATTGAACTGGAAAATCAATCACACTCAGTTTGTCTTTGAACTCAAGAAAGGTGGAAGCAGATAGAGGCTTAGTCAACACATCTGCAATTTGTTGGGAGGCTGGAATGTGAAAGACTTCAAGCTGTTTGAGATGAACTTTCTCTCTGACAAAGAAAAGATCAATTTCCATATCTCTTATGCGAGAATGTAGGACAGGATTGTGAGCTAGCTGTACAGTGCTGAGATTGTCACAATAAATTCTTGGAGTGATAAAAGGGGCTTGAAGTTCTTTGAGTAAAAATTGAACCCATAAAAGTTCTGATGTAGTGTCTGCTAGGCTTCTGTATTCAGCTTCAGCTGAAGATCTTGCTACCCTCAGTTGTTTCCTAGACCACCAGGAGATAATATTAGAGCCTAGGAAAATGCATGACCCAGATGTAGATTTTCTGTCTGTAGGATCTGATGCCCAGTCAGCATCACAGAAAGCTGAGATTGGTAGAGGTATTTTTGTCAAGGGAAGAGGTTTGATGATCAGTCCATGAGTAATAGTGTCAGATAGATATCTCAGTATATGTTTCACAGCTTTCCAGTGGTCTTGTAAATGATCACTCATGAACTGACACACCTTATTTACATCATAGCTAAGTTCAGGTCCGGTTAGAGTAGCATACTGCAGAATTCTAACAACAGATCTGTAATGAGAGGGATCAGGAAGAGGGTCACTTCCTTCATTGGTGAGCTTACATTGGTGAGCTTACAAGTACTCACCATAGGTGTTTTCACACCCTTAGAATCTGTCATTCCAACTTTATGAAGAAGATCTCTGATGTATTTGGCTTGTGAGAGGTGCAGACAACCATTTGGAATTTATCATTCCTTTCTTCTACCTTGCTCTATTTCTAATATGGTATCAGAGCATTTATAGAAGCTATGGTTGTAACTAACTGCAGTTAATATAACAGAAGCCCAACTAATACTAATTACAAAGCAATGTACGTGTAGCTTTTATATACTATTCCTAACAATCATCAACTCAGCAAGAGTTCTAACTGGATAATTGGATATAACTCCAATTCAGCCTTTATTTCATCTTTCAACCCCTTCAGGAAAATTCCTTTGAGGATTTTCATATCAGTATGTTTTAAGGGAGCTACAATCAACTCAAATTGTTCCCTATACTCCATCACACTTCCTATCTGTGTGACACTCAATAGGGAGCCATAAGGATCATGTACTAATCCAGGTTGGAATCTACGAGTCAAATCATTTTTGAATGATTCCTAATTTCTCACCTCAGTGTGTTCTTCCCACCACTGAAACCAGTTTAGAGCCTTTCCTTCCATTGTTAAGGTAATCAATTCTACTTTATCATCTTCCTCTACCTGATTCATTTTTAAGAAACGCTCCACCTTAAGTAACCATTCATAGGCATCATGTCCACTAAATAGTGGTAAATCTACTTTCCTTCCAGATTTCTCCATCCATTTACTGTAGTCATCGTTTCGCTTAGATGAGGAAGAGTGATGATTACCTGAAGATGAAGAAGATTCACAACTGTCATGTCTCTTACTTCTTTTGGTCATTTTTTATCTTCCGCGCGACTGACTCTCTTTCTGGTTCAATATTAACTCGCGTAACTCATCACGAGTACGCTGTGCTTCTTCGCGCATCTCTTCGCGATTGCGCATCGTCTCAACACGACTTCTCTCCAGCTCGCGTTCCAGATTTTCCAATCGCGCTTCCATCGTTCCTCTTGTGGCGACCATGTACAGGTAACAAGATCGTTGATCTGATACCAATGTTAAGTATCTAGCTAATTACAGAGAGATTTGTAGGAGAATGTAGGAACAAAGATGAACAATAGAGAATAGAAGGTATTTCGATTAACAGAATAGAGATGTTAAAGAGATGTCAACTCTCCAGTCCCAGCTAACTACCAAATAACGGCCTGCCTTATTCCTCCTGTAGCTATCTATTTATAGAAGTCCACCTGACCCCTAATTACAACTCCCAGCTACTTATTATTCCCTTTCCTTCTAGAATACACTTTGTCATAATAGCTAATACTATTATTAATATTATTAAGAGGCTGACTTCCTGTGACTAACACTTTACATGTCCATCACAAGCATAGACATCTCTCAAACTCATTTTCTTCATAAGATCTTTCTTAATTACCACACACCCCTGTCCTTATAACAAAGCTGCTTTAATAACGTTCCTATAGAATATCCTCTGTCATAAATGCACGTGTTACCATGCAATACTCTTTCACACTTCGTTTTTAATCTTTTTATCCACATGCCTTCATCTTTTGTGTCAATCTTGATCAATCTCCAGTGTTAACGATAAGTGCTGAATATTTAATACAGCTGCTTACTAGTAACTCTATCTCATCCAGTTTCACTCCACTTTGTTCATTATTTTTAATATCGCATAAATCTCACTCTAAACACTAGGTTGTACTTTGGGTCATCCTAAAACCCCTGTGATTCTCCTTGTTGTCTCCATCAGGATAGCTTTAGTTTTTCTGTGGACTCATTTACCAATTTTACATCATCATATGTGAAATAACATACACTGGCATTTCAAATTTTGTAAGTGATTTTTTTAAATATGTTTTTTTTTTGCTTTTATTTTTTGGAGTGGGGTAGTGATATGGAAAGAAATAAGGTATACTGCAATTCTGTGAACTACTAAAATTATTTGTTAAAGGTAACTTGTGGGATGCGAAGCATCAAGCTAAGAGCAAAGAGTAATGCTAAAGTTAAAGATTGGGTGGCTTCAATAAATGATACTGGACTTAGAGCACCTGAGGGTTGGTGTCATCCTCATCGTTTTGGATCTTTTTCTCCTCAACGAGGCTTAGTGGAAGATGACAGCCAGGCTCAGTGGTTCGTTGATGGTCGGGCTGCATTCGAAGCCATTGCTCTTGCAATTGATGAAGCAAAATCAGAGGTTTAAAAACCCGTTTTGTTTTTAGTGCATCATTCATTATTGTAACTTTTTTGCCAATAAGGATGTGGTGCTTGGTTTCTGGCACAGATATTCATTTGTGGCTGGTGGCTTTGCCCAGAACTGTACATGCGGCGCCCTTTTGATACCCATTCTTCTTCCCGGCTTGATTCTTTACTGGGAGACAAGGCGAAACAAGGTGTTCAGGTAGTTGTCTCTCGGTTATATTAATGTTCAACTTTCATTTGATATCTCAAACTGATATTATTGCATTGTCACTTGTTGCCACTCAAAAATCTTGAGTGCTACTGCAAGGTATCAATCATTTAGTTTGGAAATATGTTTGAGTCTTTATCTTATGTCAAGTCTATTTCTTTTTCTTTTCCAGGTTATTATCTATTTGTTTGTATAACTGTGAGAATGCTACAGCATCTTATAGGCGTTTTTTAATTAATTAGCATCATCACTCTTCTGAAGTTGGATTAGTTACATTCATTTATTTTGGTCCAGGTCCTCCAGGACCAAGACATAGTTTATACTGTTATGCAATATGAAGAAAACAATCACTTTTCTTAGCATTAATAATGGTCCTAAAGAAGTGCTTATTCCTTTTTTTGGCATCTACAATAACTCAAAAGGAGCATAAAGAACATGTTGATCTAGCGTGTTTAGAATTCATCCATTGATTATTGCTCTTTGGGGTTTGCAGTTACCAAATGCTTTGATTGTTTTATTATATATCTCATTGCTTCAGATTTACATTCTGCTATACAAGGAGGTTGCTCTTGCTTTGAAAATCAACAGTGTGTATAGCAAGCGGAAGCTCTTAGAAATTCATGAAAATGTTAGAGTACTTCGTTATCCTGATCATTTTTCAAGTGGTGTCTATTTATGGTATGCATAACAAAAAGATTTTGGTTTCCAGATCACCAGATTTATGCCTCTGCTAATTTCAATTTATGCTTATTCATAGGTCTCATCATGAAAAAATTGTCATTGTCGACCATCAAGTTTGTTTTATTGGTGGCCTAGATCTTTGCTTTGGTCGTTATGATTCATTTGAACACAAAGTCGGCGATTGTCCACCTCTTATTTGGCCTGGCAAAGACTACTATAATCCAAGGTATTTTTTTTACATTCATATCTTCAACTCCTTACTTTTATCTTTGACATATATGAAAATTTCTTTTATGGTTTGCTAGTTTATTAAATATTATATTTAGTTCTGCTGTTCTGCAATATATATATATATATATAGGTATCTGGGCATATGGCATATTTTACTTTGTTATTTACTCTGTAATATATAAAGCTGATCTGCTTTTATGCGTTTCACAATTTGGACATGCATCTTTTTGTCTATTCTTTGTCTTGCGTCGGTTTTAATGCATTTTCCACAAGACTAGTCTTTGTCATACATAATATTTCCCTAGTTGCTCATGCAGTTCTATTTTCAGGGAATCTGAACCAAACACATGGGAAGATACCTTGAAAGATGAGTTGGACCGGACGAAGTATCCTCGCATGCCCTGGCATGATGTCCATTGTGCTCTTTGGGGACCACCTTGCCGTGATGTGGCTAGACACTTTGTTCAGCGCTGGAACTATGCCAAGGTTCTTATTTTTTCATAAAAAATATGATATCTATGGAAGTACTTTTTTTAAGGTTAGGCACTATTTTTGCAATTTTCAGCGAAATAAAGCTCCCTATGAGCCCACGATTCCACTACTTATGCCTCGGCATCACATGGTTATTCCCCATTACATGGCAATTGGCACAGAGACACACACTAGTAATACAGATGTTATTAGTGCTTCAAGTATCAAGAGACACGATTCATTTTCCTCTCAATCATCTTGCCAAGACATTCCTTTGCTCATGCCTCAAGAAGCTGACGAAATGGATATAAGGGGGGAACCAAAGTCATATGCCTTCACTCCTGGGTATGATTTCCATGACCAGCCAAATGGGTCAGCTAGCATTTCTTTCCCTTTTCGGAAGGCCAAAGCAGAACCCTTTTTGCCAGGCATGCCAATGAAAGCATTTGTCGATGAAGTTAATGTCACTGATCTTCATAGAAAGCCGTCTTCTGGTTTGATGCGTCCTGGAACTAGAGCCTCAGATAAGGAGTGGTGGGAAACACAGGAGCGTAGTAGTCAAGTTGTTCCGTCTGATGAAACTGGGCAAGTTGGTCCCTGTGCTCTATGTCGTTGTCAGGTGAGATACTCTTGCAGTGTCTAATGGAGACAACTAAATTGTATGTTGCATGTTACAACTTACATTATGTATATTCATAAATAACTAGTTGTACTACCTTAGATAGAATAGCTTGATTCTGGGGATAATTATTTTTTGATTCACTTTTCTTAATTAAGGTGATATGGGTTATATACCTATATTTTAGTTTAATGAAATATAGACTTTCTCTACCAGTTTATGACAGTCTTTTTGGTTTAGTGCTAGTAAGGAAGAGTGGAAGACCGATAGAGTCCCACACTCCCACGTTAATCATTATTGCTTGCGGAACTAATATTTCTTTTCCGCTGTATACATCATTTAATATGTTCATATGTTCATACTTCATATTCGTTAGTATAACACTTGCACAAAAGTTGGGTGGTTTTATTTGATTATACTTAACTTTTGTTCCAGATCATAAGAAGTGTTAGTCAATGGTCAGCTGGGACCAGCCAAATTGAAGAAAGCATACACAATGCATACTGCACTCTCATTGAGAAGGCAGAACACTTTATTTATATTGAGGTTTGTTATAGCCATCTCAATTTTAAAAATAAAATAGGGGTAAAGGCCAATTCGATCCTGTTTTACTCGACGATATGATCCTCAGAATGTTGGGAACAGTCCCAGATACAAACTTTTATGATGATTAGTGGTTCTTATGCCTAACCATTGTTAGACCCCCCCCCCCCCCCCCCCCCCCCAGCTGAGGGACCATATAAGCTACAGGCAGGGACTAGTTTTGTAACATTGAAAAAAAGTGCTATTGCGACATACCTAGGACAAACTCTTCTATCTCCATACCAAAGTTATTCTTAAATAGACTTTTTTTTTCTTTTCCTTTATATGATCAAACTCATTCTTTCTTACTGGCTCTTTTTGGGTTGGAGGGTGGGGGTGATTAACTGTGGTGGGAGAGGGAATGTCATTTTTTAGTCTTGAATCTTTGGAGGCTCTTCAGTAACTCTTTAACTTTCCTGACTTGTAATGGAAAATTTTCCCAGAATCAATTTTTCATCTCAGGTCTCGTGGGAGATGAGATTATAAGGAATCGTGTATTGGAAGCATTGTGTAAGAGAATCATGCGAGCTTACAATGAGAAAAAGTCTTTCAGGGTTATTATCGTTATACCGCTTCTACCTGGATTCCAGGTATGGGTGCTATATAGACCGTCGCTATCATCTCTGTCCCTCTAATTTTCTCGTGATTATTTTTACCGTATCTTTTTTTTTTTTTTGCTGAAGTATTAAATTTGACAGGGTGGTTTGGATGATAGTGGTGCAGCATCTATAAGAGCTATCATGCATTGGCAATATCGTGCAATATGCAGGGGAAATACCTCGATTTTGCACAATCTGAGTGATCTTATTGGTCCCAGAGTGCATGATTATATATCCTTTTACGGTCTCAGATCTCATGGTAGACTGTTTGATGAAGGTCCTGTCGTTTCTAGCCAGGTGTGTTTTTCTTTCTTTTTGGCCTGCTGCAGTTTGCATATTTTTAAAGGGCATCTATTTGTCTGCACGTTATATGTCCCCTTTAATGTTAGCTTAATTTGTTCTACACTTCTACCTTCGTAATTTCTTTGGTCAGAATGTTTGTTGTTGCAGCAAAATAACATTGTCTCGAATGCACATGCATGTGACATTTTTTATTTGTTATTGTAATTTAAGAATGTGTGCATTCATTGTGCATGTTACAAAACTACAAATTATTCGTGACCTATCGGATTTTGCACTGCTATAAAAATGTAACAAACTAACAATGTATAACATTACTCAACTTTAGTGCTCGTAGAATGACCGTTATATTAGGAAAATAGGAACATTGATGATCCACTCATACACGTGATATGCATGTGCATTCAAAAAGAAATCTCTAACCAGCTTAAGCTATCATTGAAATAATAAGAAACCATTATGTTAGTATGTTAAAACTACTTCAAAGTGAAGGAAGATAACAAGATATGGCAAGCTAGTTTAGCCACATTAAAAAACCTTGTAGCAATTATCTATTGATCCGTGGATTTGTCAATTCTAAAGGTGTATGTGCATAGCAAAATCATGATAGTTGATGACCACACAGCCTTGATTGGATCTGCAAATATTAATGACCGGAGCTTGCTCGGCTCCAGAGACTCTGAGGTATTCTAGTACTTATCTTCTTTATGTTGCCATCATGTTTTTATTAATGGATCTTGGATATTAAAATTGTGTATAGGAACTTGGTCATGTAATATGAGGAATAGTTTATTCTGATGATTGTAACATTACGCATATATGGTAGCAGACCAATCCATTATAAAATGATCAAATGTCAAACATTATCATGTTCTCTCACTCAATCCAGAGCAGTTGTGTTGAAATCTACTTTTATCTACCACAATTTCTTCCTTGCAGATTGGTGTAGTTATTGAGGACAAAGAATTTGTTGACTCATACATGGGAGGCAAACCATTTAAGGCTGGGAAATTTGCATCAAGTCTTCGCCTCTCACTATGGTCTGAGCATCTTGGTCTTTGTGTTGGAGAGGTTCTAATCTGTTAACAATTTTAATCATCATCTCTAGCGCATGGTGTTCTATATTTTTAATATGCTGATTATTTGTTCTGCTATTCAGATGGGTCAAATTACTGATCCAGTGATTGATTCAACATACAAGGATATGTGGATGTCAACTGCAAAGGTAAGAATGCTAAAATCCTCATTTGATGTCACATCATATAGGTAGTGAAAGTGTGTCCATAATGAAGTGCAACTTAGATGCCTGATATAACACAACTTTATGTTATCTCCCTCTCTTTGAATTTATTAATTGAACCAGTTGGGATAACAATCAAATAAGATACATTTATATGTTGTATATATCTCAATTAACTCTTAGAGTATATGGTTAACATGAAGGCTGCCTTGACATCATCTTGAACAGTGCAGGCTGCCTTGACATCATCTTAAACATGTTTAATTCTGTATTTTATTTTGGTGGAAGAACAGTTGCACGGGAAAAGTAATGAACAAGTAAAGTGAAACTATTTACAAAATGGGAAACCTTCATCGTCACATTTATTGTTTAATACTAAATCGATAAGGCTATATTGGAATGTTTGGGACCATAATTTGTGTGGACATTCTGTTGGACTGCCTTGTTTGGGTAGTTGGTATCTATTTCTATAACTTTTTAAAATTGTTAAAGTAAAGTGCATTGATCTTGTGTTATTTTATTTATTTTCCTTTTTTATCTGCTTGGGACCTCCTTCAAACTTACTAAGAATGTCATCTGCAGACAAACACAATGGTTTTCCAAGACGTCTTTTCTTGTATACCAAACGATCTTATACAGTCCAGGTATATAGTTAATCAGCTATATCTTGCATTCTCTTTTATCACTGGACAATTATTTTTTCCCTTTCACATCACACATACATGTCATTTACTTCTTTCAATGTCCATACAGGGCTTCTCTAAGGCAGTGCGTGGCTCACTGGAAAGATAAGATTGGTCACACAACAATTGATTTAGGAATAGCCCCGAACACATTAGAGTCTTATCAAGATGGAGATATCAAAGAAACAGATCCCATGGAAATGTTAGAGTCTGTAAGGGGTCATCTCGTTTCTTTCCCACTGGATTTTATGTGCAAAGAAGATCTAAGACCCATGTTCAATGAAAGCGAGTACTATGCTTCACCTCAAGTCTTTCACTAGACATGGTTGGTTGTACAGTGCAGGGATACACGTATTTTGATTTATTTGTCTAAAAAACATAGCTAGCCAAAATCTGCAGCCTTGTGGAATAGCAGCAATATATAGGAACATACCACCCCACTACCACAGTTGGGTGCACGTTCACCATTTCTTTCAGCTGTGGCTTGTTCCTTTACCTGATTCTTAGCATGCCCAGAAATGTTTATTTGCATGGTTTGGGAATACCTGTTGTAAACAAAGGAAAGGATGATGTAGATTATTAACGTGTTCATAAGAATGTTCTAACCTGGGACAAGACTGAATATGTATTATTTTTCAATAATACCCGTGGTTTACTTTTGCTTATTTTGTTCAGTGCTAGTTGGTAACCGAAGCCAAGGGGTTTTATGTTGCAGCTTGCAACTAGTGTTTTGAATCTCAGGCTGGTTGCTGATTCAGTAGAACGTTATGTCAGTGGTTGTTGATTCCATGCTGAATTAGGGTCCTATGATCAATAATGGTGTTCTTGCTTGCGCTGAACTTTTTTGTTTACCGCAATTGTTAAGATGTGCCAAAAGACCAAGAAAGCTATAAAAGACGAGTGGGTTATATGGACTCGTTTTTAGAGTATATAAATTGCCAAACAATATAGAGAAATGGTGTTAAATAGGAGTAGGACTTTTGATATGTACGCGGATAGGAGTACCTACTTTTTAATTCGTAAGTAGGACCAATTTTATCCAATATGCCTATTTTGCCCCTAATAGAATTCCAGCACCTTTCAACTCTCTCAATCTATTCTTTCCGTTTCTCTCCACAGCAACTCCCCAAATATTCTACGAAGTCACAAGCGGCGGGCACCAACAGGCAACAACTACGGACGATGACGACGACAAAGCTGCAATGGCGAAAACAACTCCTGCCGGCGGTAGGCGGTGCAACAGCGCTAATCTGCGCTCCCCCCTCTCCCAAGTTCAATAGGCTGGTCTCCCTAGATCTGAAGCCACGAGCCAATGACAAAATAAATGAAGGTTAGGACGAGGTGCTGGCGGTGCCGGCGGCAAGGCAGTGGCGGAGGTGAAAAGATGGCGGCAAGGCAGTGGCGGCGGGAACCCCTCCTCCTTGTCCTCTCCCTAATTTTTCTTCATCGTTGTTGCACCCAGGTCTTCAGTTTCTTTTTCCACAGCTGTTTTAGTTCGTTTTAGTGCCACTCCGAATTTACAGTTTTTTTCTGCTTTTCTTTTGTGTTTTTCTGTGGCGTGTGGTTAATTTTTTATTTCTCTTTTATTCTGATTTTGTTTTTTTCATCTAATTCCTTTTTCAATCGTAATTTCAAGCATTCAAAAAAAACTTTCCTTATTTGTTTTGTTATTTTTATGTTGATTATTTATGATAAATTCCTTGATTCATTTTAGTCATTCACCGTTAGTTTATTCAAATGTCATTGTTATTGTCACATCTTGCTATGTATTTTCATGTGTTTTTATCATGATATTGACATGTTATATTGTTAATAATAGTAATGTTGTTAAATGATTTTAATATTCGAACATTTTTAATAATATGGATATTATTTACAAAATATCAATACAAGTTGAGGTGTGCAAAGCAGTTGATTACAATGGTTGATTCTGATTTTATTATCAATGTCACGACAGTAGTTGTCATTCGTATTGACATTGTCATTATTACAATATCATTTTGTATAGCATTGGCATTGTCATTATTACAATGTCATTTTGTATAACATTGACATTGTCATTGTTTGACACTATGACATGTTTCACGCAATAATGAATTATGGAGTCCTATGACATTAGTTTTCAAACATTGATATTTTGTGACAATATTTTCTATTTTGGAACAATGGTATTAGCATTGATGTTTTCTTTGACGATGTCAATTTTATTAGGAGTGAGCATTGACATTTTGAGTATAGTCATTGACATTGTAATTATCACAATGTCATTTTTATAGCATTGACATGGTCACGACATTGTCATTGACATTGTAATTATCATAATGATATTTTTATAGCATTGACATCTTCAAAATTTGACATTGTGACATTATGACACTTCAGTGACATTGACACTTTTATAAATTGTGACATTGTTAGTGAAAAGTTTGATCCCGCAAAGGTTTGTCGCGCATAATGAAAATTTTATTACCATAAATGATTAAATTGTGACATCAATATTCAATAAATTTGACTTTATTTTAACATGACATTTTAATAAGACATTGTTTTCCCCTTTTAATAAAGTTGGACAATGTAATTTAATTTGACTACACAAACTAATGCAATAAAATCTAACAAAATAAAGATAATGTCATTAAAAATGTATTGAATTACGAACATTGTGAGTTTATTAAATACAAAATAAAGATAATGTATTAATAATGACATTCTTATGACATTATAATTGACATTTTGATGACATTGTCATTCTCATTGTCATCGTGATTGATTAACATTGTCATAATATTTATTGACATTGTCATAATTACAATGTCATTTTATAGTTTCGACAATGACATTGCCATTGTGACACTTTCTTAACCCGGTGACATTTTTATACATTTCTATGACATTTTTATATATTTTTATGACATTTTTGACTTTTTTTTATAAAATTAACATTGTCATATATAATAGCTATTGACATTTTCATAATTACAATGTCATTTTACAACATCGACAATGACGTTGCCATTGTGACATTTTCTTAACCCGGTGACATTTTTATACATTTTTATGATATTGTCATCGACATTCACATTGTGTCAAGATATGTCGGGTCAACCGTAATTCATTTTGGTTCCACATACATTTTAAAATTTTAGTCACAAATCCAACTCAAAATACATATAGTAACACTAGATTATACTATCAATGTCATTCAAAATAAGATCATATGAAAGATGAAAGAGTAGATGAAATAAACTTATACAAGATCGAGTTTCCGGAAAATTAATTTCAGATTTGAAAATCTGCTAAGTGGCCTGCAAAATAGCTTCTCCATGTACAAGATTGAGCTTCCAGTAGAATAGATGATGGCGGATGGCCTGATAGCTTCCAGCAATTTAGAGCAAATAATGATGGCCTGTTATCGTCGCTGCTCCGGTTCCTCCGCCGCTGCCGCCGACGTCGATGTCACTGCCCCGCCCAACCACTCTGCCGCTAGGAAAACTCACAAGTACCTCAACTTCTTGCTCTCCAGATTCTCCTGTGGTTTCCGCAACGCTCACCATCCGGATTCAGCCCACGCACCTTGAAGTATCACTTTGACCAAATCAAGACCCATGTGTTTGAGAAAATCTACAACCAAAAGCGTGTTTCGTAGGGGACAAGTAGCATGTCACCTTGGGTGCTTTGGAGGCAGATTATTCTCGTGAATCTAAGAGATAATCCCACAAGGAGCTTCGGCGGCCTTCGTCAATAACACAGTCGCAGGTTACCTTGAGTCGTAGACGGGCAGACGACAGCGAACACGAGAGCTTTTGGTAGCAGTTGCATTAGTAAGGGTATAATTGTCCATCCCTTCAAATTTAGTCCTATTTAAGGTTTAAAAAGTATCAACTCCTATTTACCTTCATAACCTTTCTTTTAGTCTTATTTAGATCTTTTTCCCAACAATATATTAACAATATTAGAGCATCAGCAATGAAGTACTCCGTACTTTTTAGTTCAAATTAAAAATGCCAAATGTCAACTGAGCAAAAGGCTTTCAAATATACATCACACATAGTGAACGGACTACACATTGAACTACAAAAAACACTTCCAATGCAGAAGTCTCACGGTCCAAGTTTAGTGTCCACTTGGATTTTTTTTATATTAAAATAGGAGTAAATTTAATCTTTTTTGTTTGAATTATTGTCTGGTCGGCTGCCCTGTAAATATAAGTCCATGACATACTCTCTAATCTGTATGATACCTCCTTATTTGTATTTTAGATTAGGGGTGTATTCGGGCCGGGTCGGGTCTGGGTCGGGCCTAGGCCCGGGTAGCCACCGGGTCCGGTCCGGGTCCGGGCCTCGGGTCAATTTTTTTTCATTTTCCTAATTAACCCCCTCCCACCCCCAACCCCCAAACCACCCCAAATGCCCAAAATGCCAAGTATGTAACCATAAGCTAAAAATTCATTTGTCTACTCTAGCGATCACAAGAAGAAATCAAATTTGTATGTTATATAAGAGTATATACATATTCCAACCCCCACGGGTAGCTTAGTTGGTCGAGTGGTGGGAGGTTTGAATCCCCGCAGCGATCGGGTGGAGGTCACAGAACCTGAAATCAGGCTAGGCCTCTGGTGCGCACGGGTGTATGAGCCTACTGACACTTTGCTGATTGAGTCACCGTGACTAACATTCCCACCATCCTGTCGGGTCGGAGTGGAGAGCTCCTGGGGTGGGAGATTACACCTTTTTTGGATCAATATATATCCATATTCCATAGATCAGTAGTGCTTGTTTTAGTTTCAACATAAAAAATTATTACATAATAGATTGGTATGCATCATCATGATTTCAATGCCTTTGGTAAAAAAAATTGTGAAAATAGATGGTTTTCTTTAGACCCATCATAGAGAGGCCAACTAATCGAGGAAACGGGTTTCTCAAACTTCCCCCTTCATAGTTTTCGACGGTTTTGTGTCCAACTCTAACATTTTCTTAAGCACTCTAACATTTTAATTAAATCACGCTTCGCTCCTACTATTACAAGCCTCCTTTCCACACAACTTCATTCATATCCTTCGCTAATGAAGAAGTCGCTTTCTGAAGCTAAGCTATAAGCCCCCCTATCACAAGAAGTAGTCCCATTTTCAGCCTTTCACGGTCGAGCACTTAAAAACAAATGAAGGCTGATTTGGCCTTCACTTTACGGATCGAGCTAACCACTATCCGCTGAATGTCAAACACGCTCTTAATTTGAGGTCGAATCCATTAAACTCTGCAAGATTGACGATGATTTGAGTGTATTTTGATTTTGATAAATAATTTGAGTGCACATACTATGTATAACATAATGTGATTAAATTAAATAGTCATTTAAAATTATTAATTATTTTCTAAAATATAAATCACAATCCTTAAAACATTTAGAGGGTCTGTTTACTCCTGGAATGGTTTGTAGAAGATCTCCCATTCCCGCGCACTTCTGTACCTCTTCTCAACTCCCCGCCGCGCAATGCTTTGCAGGGTCGCCGCAGGCACCCGATCGCGAGACAGAAACTACTTTCTCAGCTTAATCACCAAGGCTGCAACCGTCTCTCAGCTCAGCCAAACTCACGCCCTGTTGATCCACCACGGCCTTAGCAACGACCTTATTGCCGTTACAAAGCTAACCCAGAGGTTCTCTGATCTCCAAGCCATATCCCATGCCAAACTTATTTTCAAGGCCTTCAACTGCACCAACCCCCCTGACCTATTTCTGTACAATGTTCTTATCAGAGGGTTCTCTCAGAACAACCTACCTTTTGATTCTCTCTCCATGTTCCATCACCTTTGCTGTAAAACAAGACTAAAACCCGACAATTACACGTACGCTTTCATTATTTCAGGCATTTCTTTTTCTGGGTATCAGGGTTTTGCCGTATTGCTCCATGCACAAGTAATAGTTTCTGGTTATAGCTCGGATTTGTTTGTCGGGTCTGCATTGGTGGATATGTATACGAGCTTTAAGAGAATTGGTCACGCATACAAGGTGTTTGATAGAATTCCGTGTCAGGATAGTGTGCTTTGGAACACTATGATTTGTGGGCTCTCGAGGAATTGTTGTTTTGATGAAGCAATGCGGGCTTTCCATAATATGGTTGTGAATGGGACTCAATACAATTCTACGACATTGTCAGTGGTTCTTACAGTTGTGGCCGAGTTGCAGGCATTGCAGCTGGGGATGATGGTTCACTGCTTGGCGGTAAAGGTTGGGTTACATTTTCATGAATTTGTGATTACAGGGCTTATATCGGCATATTCAAGATGTGGGGATGTTAAGACTGGCTGGATGTTGTTTGAGCAAATTAGGAAACCAGATTTGATTTCATGTAATGCAATGATTGCTGGGTTTTCATTTAATAATAAGACTGAATATTCAGTGAGGCTATTCAATGATTTGCTTGCCTCAGAAGAGAAAATTAACTCTAGTACTATTGTTGGTTTGATTCCGGTGTCCTGTCCTTTTGGTCATCTAGATTTAAGCTGTTCAATACATGGTCTGTGTGTAAAAACAGGTATGATTGGAAATCCCTCTGTTTCTACTGCACTGACTACAGTTTACAGTCGCCTGAATGAAATTGAATTTGCCAGGCAGCTATTTGATGAGGCCTCGGAGAAAACGTTGGCATCTTGGAATGCTATGATATCTGGATATACACAAAATGGTCTGACAGAAAGGGCAATATCTCTCTTTCTTGAAATGCAAAAATTAGATATCCATCCCAATCCTGTCACAATCACAAGTATACTTTCAGCTTGTGCGCAACTTGGAGCTCTAAGCATTGGAAAATGGGTCCATCAATTGATAAACAACGAGAGTTTGGAGTCTAACGTTTATGTTCTAACGGCTTTAGTTGACATGTATGCTAAGTGTGGAAAAATTGAGATAGCTCGACAATTGTTTGATGCTATGCTGGAGAAAAATGAAGTGACTTGGAATGCAATGATTTCTGGTTATGGACAGCATGGGTTAGGGCGTGAGTCATTGGTGCTCTTTGATGAAATGCTTAGTTCTGGGGTTCACCCAACTGGAGTTACTTTTCTTTCCCTACTTTATGCTTGTAGTCATGCTGGTTTGGTAGAAGAAGGTGAGCAAATTTTCTATTCCATGGTCCATAAGCATCATATTAAGCCAGTTTCTGAACATTATGCTTGCATGGTGGACCTCTTTGGCCGAGCTGGGAAACTAGAAAACGCCATGAACTTCATAAATGGGATGCCTGTGGAACCAGGTCCAGCAGAATGGGGTGCTTTGTTGGCTGCTTGCATGATCCACAAGGACACTAATCTAGCTAGCATGGCCTCTGATAAACTGTTTCATTTGGATGCTGAAAATGTTGGTTACTACGTGCTTCTATCAAACATATATTCTGCAGACCACAATTATCCTCAGGCTGCTTCAGTGAGGCAAATGGTTAAAAAGAGAAAGTTAGCTAAAATTCCCGGGTGTACTCTAATTGAGGTTGATGGACATCCATACGTCTTTAAATCCAGTGACCAGTCACACCCTCAATCTGCTGCCATTTATGCGAAGCTTGAGGAATTGATGGAAAAGGCGAGAGAGGCTGGATTTAAGGCACAGACTAGCACATCGTTGCATGATGTGGAAGAGGAGGAAAAGGAGCTCATGGTTAAAGTTCATAGTGAGAAGCTAGCCATTTCTTTTGGGCTTATAACTTCTGAACCTGGATCTGAAATCAGGATAATCAAGAATCTAAGGGTCTGCATTGATTGCCATAACTTCACTAGGTTTATTTCAAAGATCACTGAGAGAACTATTGTTGTGAGGGACGCAAATAGGTTCCATCATTTTAAAGACGGCACATGCTCTTGTGGAGATTACTGGTGAAAGAGGACTTCATCCTACCCATTGAACTCTAGAGGATTGGGAAATGAAGATGTTTGTACCATTGAGGAAAACTGTTAAATATGTACGTACTATAGTACAAAAAGAAATGAAGCCTGCGTACTACAGAATCACCTGATCAAACCTCCAAACTATAAAAAAATACTCTATCTCGCATCTTAGCCGGTTTCAAACCGGTTAGCCTGTTAGCCGTTGATGTGGATCGCATATGGCTTTAACTTTTTCCCTGCTTGCCTGTTCCCCATCAACCTGACAAGGCACCCTTTCCCTTCGCCGGCGGAATTGCTTCAGCCTCATCAATCCATTACCGCCGTTGCTAATTTGAGGGAAGAAGATGTGAGCAGTATCAGTGAGTCACAGAAGAAGATGAGATGTGCTAGCCAGGCGTCGGTAATTCTCTGCTCGTCATCATCGTTCCAAGCCCAGCCTCCGCCTAGATGCAGAAAGAAGAAGACGGAGTAGGCGAGAAGTGACTGGAAGACTAATCTCCATCGCTGTTCGACCCATCCGCTGCTCTATTTGTTGTATCCATCCACCTCCTTGTTTGCCGGCGTCTCTACTCACCTCAAAGGAGAAGGACATCAAAGATTCAGCTGCAGACAAAATCGGTAGTGACGCAAAACAAATCAGATCGCATAGAGGCTTGGTGAGTACATCCCTACTGGCGAGCACAGTAGCAAGGTCCCTAATGGCCCTCACCTTCTATTGCTGCTTACTTCTGGTGGTTGTTGTTGCTGTTGGCCTCCTCTCCTGCTCTGCTCAGTGTCCCTTCCGGCAACCTGGATCTTACATTGGACGGCTACCAAGAAACGGGGTTGGGTGGCATGCTTTTTAACAGGCTACGGTTGTTGATCGGCTATAATGCGGGATTGGTTTCTTTATAGTTTGATTGGGTGATTTTCTAGCGCGGGGTCTTATTTTCCGTTTTTGCTACAGTACCAGGCTTATTTAACAATTTTCCCTACTATTAATTAATTTGATATGTGAGGAACTAAGGTTAAGGTTTATGATGAAGCATTCAGTCATTCACTTCCGTGAATATAAATTGTCCTTTGACAGTTTATATTTGGATTTTTTAAAGGTAATTCTTTTACCATAGCAACTAAAAGCATCCAGCTCTTTAATGTTTTTTTTATAATTGTTGGAATACTGTTACAGGAGCATTCAGCTCCATAGTTTTTTACAGGACCGCTTGGTTAAACTCATTTGGCATGCATCCCACTAAGACAAACTTTCAAGTCGATCGCGTAAGTGTTGTTTAGTCTTCTAGATATTTGGTGAAGATTTTAAATTATCGAGTTTTTCTTTGGGGCTCTGTTGTGGTATAAAATCGGTGGGTTTTCTTGGTGTTTAAAATCTGTTGTTTAGTCTTACAGATATTTGCCTCTTATAATGTTAACACAGTTGTCTTCCATTTCTTTCAACAATCAGGGATGCTATTGATCCTCAAAGACAATGGAGTCGAATACAGAAGCTAGCGGCACACTCGCCTCAGAAAGGTGAGGCATAATCAATATATGATTCCCTTTAAGAAACAGTTGTCCTCAATGAGGTAACCCTATTCAGTTTACAGTCATATATATGATCATATTTGTATTTGGATTTTAAAATGGTTCTTTAAACAATGCTAGAGTTGGATTCAGTCATTCAGCAGACATCATATTTAAGATGCCTTAGTCAGTGAGGATATTGGACCCTTACTAATATTAGTCTCACTAGTTTTATTACCCGAGTACTCTCTGAAGATATACGCATGTTGTCCTACCTTTACATTCTTTCTGCCTTTTTTGTGTATCGGGACTGTGTAACTGTCTAACAAAACAGAGGAGTTATGAGTATTTAGCAAGGATGTAAGGATCCTTTTATGCCCACTTTGCATTGCCCAGTGGGCTTTGGGTACTCTTCTTTATGATATACTAATATATCAGAGGATGTAGGTAAATTTAAACTTTATGTGGGCTAAGTTAAATATGTTTTTATAATGTGTGATGTGAAAATATTGTCATATAAATAGATAAAAAAAATGGTTTTCATTTATAAAATGTGTTTTGTATTTTAATATACAAAACTGCAATCCTGAGTCTTATAAGCTGCATGTGGAGCAGTAACCAATTTTCTTTAGCTAATCTGTCTTTAATGTTTTGCAGCCAATTTTGTTGAACCCGTAATGATACATGTACTTGTAAATAGTGTTGGTAGCAACCCAAACACGAGGGGTAACTGGAATAGAGTGGTTTAAAGGAACAACGAATGCTGTTAGACAATCTATTTGAGGTAAGCTTCATTCATATTTTATGAATTTGATAATCCAATATTCTGTTGAGTAATTGATTGGGACATTTGGTCATCCACTATTCTAAGTAATTGATTTAGAGATTTTATAAGTTAATTGCAGGATGCTCAGAACAAGGATGCTCAGAACAAGGATGTTGATAATAGCCTCATCCTCTCAGGCGAATGACAATGCTGTTGGAGAGTTTTTTAGGTCTAGTCTAGCAAATATGAATGAGTAATAAAATTGTTAAAGACAAAGTATTTTAGCAATACATACCTCTTTTCTTGTGAGCTCTTTTAGGGTTGAGTTAGACCAGACATTTAAGTATCAATAGGTTTGATAACTTAACCATATGTCCAGAAACACTCCTCCCTTCCTACTACCTACAAAAATGAAAGCACCCATTCTCCCAGTATTGTGCCTTTCTTAACAACGGATCAGGAGCCTCTGCCTTGCTTTAAAGCAAGGCACGGTGCTTGGCTTTTGGGAACCGTCCGATCAAAATTTGAACTGCCAAAGATATTGAGATCCACATCCCGAGGCGTCATTTTCCCATCCAACGGTCCCTCTGCCACACAGCACAGGATCTCAATCCCTTAACCACAAATTGCACACTCTCTCTTATTGAAGAAATGAGTGAATATAATCCTCTCCAACCCTTAAGTGTTTGTTTTTATCAATGGTTAATAACTTCAGGCCGTAAATAAATAAGCTAAAAAAATAATATCGGAGATTTTACAACCTATATATATATATAATATAATATATGATATACAACATTTGAACCGCCCGATTGGTGGGGTAAAATTGTGGTACCCCAAAATGAGGTACACCAAGCAAGACTCACAAATTCATTCTTTGTTTCATTACTTACTTTCACATTGTAAAGCCAGTGAATAAAAAATAAGCCAAGTTCTTATATTCACTGCACAACTGTTTTCTTTGGTTCTTATATTGGCAGTTTGGCACCACGCCACCACCATGTTCCAGAAAAATATTCTAAAACTCCTCATATGGGCACTAATTCTATATACTGTTGCATTCAATTCCTACTCATGTTGTCAGCTATTCAAAGCAAAGTTCGTTACGTTCTAAAATTTGTATAAGTGAGCAGGTTAAACGGAAACTGTCGCTCATAAGTGACTCATCAGCTTATATTTTGTATTGAACTATAGATATAGTGAGCAATGTCTTATTTTATTACTACTCGCTATATTGAAATTTAATTATTTTAGAACAATTAAGTTTAGTAAAGCTCACCCACATCCGTTGCGTGTGTCCTTGATTAAATTCCTTTGGTAGATCTATGTGTATGCATTACTTTATAACGCACTAGACAAACACCCGTGCGACGCACGGGATAATTAATCTAGAGTAGAGTCATAATTTTCTAAGATTTATATTGTTTTATCTCACTTTGATGATTTGCATAGTTTTTTTAGATCAATAAAATATACTATTGTATTAAGAAACCTTTGAAAAAATATTTTTTGTAAAAAGTTAGAATGTAAAAAATATTGTTTGTAAAAAGTTAGAATGTACAGATTTTTTAAATTGAATTACATCATTTGTTATATTTCAGCTAGTTTCTCTTAAATATTACAGTACTATATTGTAATTCAATTTCAAAAAAGTGACCACTTTTACAAATAGAAAATATGTGGCTAAAAGTCTGAAAGGCTAATAACATTGAAAAGTTATGAATGTCACTATCATTTTATCATCATTTTATTATAAGTGTTTATGTCATTGTCACTTTATGATGTCACTGTTAGCCGCCACCAATGTCCCTTTCAACGTCACCAATGCCTCTGCCGCCACCGCCAATATTACTACTATCATGGAACACGCCAGTACGCTAACTGCAGGGAAGTATTTCCAATGACTTTTCCTGGCAAGTTTATAACAAAGCATAAAAGCAAAAAAAAAAACAGTTTTTTCCAAGGACGTTCTAATTGCCACCATTGCTGGTTTAGCCAACACTCACCAGGAGTAGTCGCTACCTCGCTGGAGGCAGCAGTGAAACATGGGTTGGCTGAGATGTAAGAGTTGACAGTTGGGCAGAAGTTAAGTAAATGTTAATCACATTTTTCAAAAAATAAAAACTAATCGGTTTTTTCTTCCAAAAGTGTAGAAGTGTTTTTATAATATTTTGAATTTATACTTTTTGTTAGGTGAAAAACTATAAATGAGTGCTATTATCATCATATATATTGTGCATATATAACATGGATATGAGTGTATGACTACTCTGTTTATATATATCATGGGTGGATTGCATATCATCAGAGAATAACATATAGGTACTGCATTTAATACTAAATAATTGACCAGTTTATATTAAGAAATAGTTACATATATATTTATGATTGAAATATAGATTATTTACAAAAATGTGATTAATGACTAAAGTAGTAACGACGTCAAAATAACTTATGTTGAACTTTTAAACTTAAGTTACCATGACACTACACTATATTATTAGAGTAATATTTTTTGAAAAAAGTCTTCTATTAATTTAAATTTTTGGCAGCATTTAAGGCTCGTTTGGTGAGTGTGTTCCATATAATACATTTAAGGCTCGTTTGGTGAGTCTTTTATTTATCATGTCTATCAGCCAACTTTTTCACCAAACATGTAAGTTTTGATTTCGCGGGCTGAATTGTAGGTAGTATGATAATAAGAAAAGGTAAGGTTGAAGTTACTTTGCTGACTGTATTGTCTGAAGTTACTGTAGAGGGTCATTTTAGCTATTTTATTATATACATTTTTCTTAATTTTAATAATAAAATATTATCTAAATATAATTTTTACATAAATAAGCAGAGTCTGCACATCAGTCAGAACTTCATAAGTTTCAGCAGAATCAGCCGATTCAACCTATTTTGGTATTACCAAACGGGCTCTTACTCTTCGGATAGGCATGTGAGGGGTTAGCATTTTTATTGCCTCCAACTCTTTTTCAATTTTGCGCCATAGTGGGTAATTTGGATTTTAAAAAGCGCAGTAAATTTGTTACTCTGTATTATATATAATACTACGTATGAAGGTTATTATTGTCATTTTTAGCTAGTTTTTTTTCTACTTTTGTAATCAATGATGATAAATTTTAGTCAATCATTTTGACTAACATATTTTGCAAAACTTATAAATTTCTATACTTTGTATGATAATATATTTATTAACAAAGAACATGTTCATATTATTTAATTTATATTACAAATACTTTTGTATATAAATAATAGATATGTTATCAATCAAGATTTAACATCATTATTGATTGAAAAGGTCTAAGAGAACTAACTAAAAGGGACTATAAATTTTACAATCATTGTACACATTAATTATAATAATCATCTTTTAAATAAATGATTTGCTTACAATTCAAAATATGGTAATTCTTAGCTACCGTATGTAGTAAGACTTTTTGGCCATCCATTTGAAATGCTATAATTATTACTTCCAATTAATTGCTATTTCCTTATATTAGTGTTTTAGTTTGCCATACATACATATATACATTAATACTTTCTTTTTATGCATGATATTGAAATCTTTGTTTATCATTTATCTTCACGTTCACTAGGCGGGAAAGTTGGAGCCAAAAAATGTTGCAACACTGTTACTTTATATTATATAAAGATATGTTTAGTGCCCATTATTTCACTCCTCAGCCTTACGGGACATGTTAAAATTAAATTAGATTGTTCATATATATGATGGCTTACCTTTACATTATTTCTTCCTTTATAAAAAAAAATCGGGAGTGTGCGACTATCTAAGTGACAGGGGTTAAGATTGTTCAACAGGGATGTAGTTGTACTTCATATTGGCCAATTACTTTTGACACATTTGGAGTTGTAAAAGATATATGCCTTCAATGACCGAATATGTGATACAAGTGATTGATCAAACATTTGCGCATTTACTTTGTTTATGGAAATGTCATATAACAATATGTAAAGGTCAAAAACTAAAGTTCATCTGGTGTCAAAAATATATTTAAAAGTGAAACACTGTTTCTGTTTTAAAGTCAAACTGTATCGTATACTACATACAAATGTTTTAACCTAAAAATTAGGATAACTTAGAAAATCTAATCTGATTTGTTTACAAAATTTTTATACCGTATTCTTTAGCTAGTTGAAACTCCGCCATGATATCATTTTTTTGGTATCATGCCTGTCCCAAGCCAGGATAAAGGAGGAGGGTGCTGTGATAGGCGTGTGACAGCCAACAGTATCACCTAGTCACATCACATTACATGAATCGAAATATGAATATCGCTAATGCTAGGTCGTCACCCGTAAGTGATGCGTCATCCCTCCGCCTGGGGGTGGTGTCAAATATGCAAAGGCGCGCTACACTTCATAGACCTGGGTGTGGTGATAAGAATGCTAAGGTTGCTAGGTCGCCGCCCGGAAGCGGCACGTCATCCCATTGCCCGGGGATGATGTCAAATATGTAAGGGCATGGTGGGTCCGAGATGGGGCTAAGAACAGAAGGTGGAGTGCTAGATTGCGTTTTGGGACATGGAATGTTGGGTCTCTTACAGGCAAATCTTCCGAGGTAGTCGAGGTTATGAGGAGAAGGAATATCAGCATTATGTGTGTGCAATAAACTAAATGGGTTGGGGAGAAAGCACGCGAGATTAATCCCGGAGGTTTTAAGTTGTGGTATTCGGGGAGAGATAAGACCAGAAATGGGGTAGACATTATTGTGGTGCGTGACTATGTTGAGGATGTGGTAGAAGTCTTCAGGAATAACGATCGCAGCATGAGCATTAAATTGGTGATAAGGGGTGAGATTGTGTCTGTGGTAAGTGCCTATGCACCACAAGTGGGATTGGATGCATCTACAACTCAACAGTTCTGGGAAGATCTTGAAGACGTGGTGCGACGAGTGCCAAGGGGAGAGAAGTTGATCATAGGAGGTGACCTCAACGGGCATGTGGGCTCGAGTCGTGATGGCTTTGAAAGTATTCATGGCAGACATGGTTTTGGCACTAGGAATGAAGCAGGAAAGAACATTTTGGATTTTGCATTGACGTATGAGTTGGCTATAATGAACACTTGGTTTAAGAAAAGAGACTCTCACCTTGTAACCTATAAAAGTGGAGCTAATAGTACCCAAATTGACTACTTCTTAGTATGGACCACTTGGAGAACTAGCTACACTGATTGTAAGGTTATTCCAGGTGAGAGTGTTGTCACTCAGCATAGGATGCTTATGCTTGACTTTCGAGGTAAGAACCATAGAAGACAAGTTAAACAACAAGTGGAGCCAAAGATAAAGTGATGGAGGCTTGAGGGAGATCTTCAACAAAGCTTTACGCACAAAATGGTCGGTGAAGATGTATGGCGTATTGATAATGAAACACATGTGGATGATGCGTGGTTATCAATAGAGTTGACCATTAACAAAGTGGCAAAGGAGGTACTTGGAGAATCTAAAGGATGTTTGCCACCTAAAAAGGACACATCTTGGTGGAATGATGAGGTGAAACAAGCCATAAGGAACAAAAGAGATTGCTACAAAAAGTTGGGGACAAGTTGGAGTGATGAGAACATAGAAGCATACAAGGAGGCTAAAATTAAGACACGGACATAGAAGCATACAAGGAGGCTAAAATTAAGCATACAGTTCATCTGGAGTATAAATTGTTATGATACGGACATACGGTGAAGACATTTAAAATTAAGAGTACCACAAGATACTAAATCAAGAGCGAAGACATTTACAGTTAAGATACTAAGAGAAATGGTGTGAAACGGTATAATACCGTACCATATTAATGCCAAACTTTTGTCAAACAGAAACAATGTCATTTTTTCAATAAACACAGTTGTTTTTGTTTGACATTAATATGGTATGATACTGTACCGTTTATAAGTAAAATGGTGTCAAACGGTTTCAATTTTGAAGTCAAACTGTATCATTTAAATTGTTATGATATGGGTACCGGATTCAACAAAATATTAAACAAATATGCTACTTATACATGCCGGCTTACACGCTCGTTTACACGTCATGTGTATTTTGTCTGTGCATAAATAATTGATTTTAATTTTAGTAAAGGGAATTGTATGTGAACTCAAAATGCTTGTGCACAAAACAAAACAGACAACTCACTTTTTCGGAGTCCTATATACTTCTCTTTACTAAAATGAAAACCGATTGTCTGTACACTGACAAAATACACTTGCGTATAAACCAGCGTGTACAAGTAACATTTTTGAATACTTCCTCCATATCACTTCACTTATCCCAGTTTTGTTTTTGGGACATATCAAATTAATTCTCTCATTTCCCTTTTAGGAAAGAAACTATCTTAAAAGAAGCTACAGTACTGTTATAGTATTGCTATAGTACCAAAATTCTCTTACTTTCATACAGTCTACAGTAATTATCTTAAAATAAGTGAAAAGGCAAACGGGACAACTAAAGTGATAGGGAGAGAGTATTAAACTTAGGGTTGAGCATGGACCTGAGATTTCCCGTTCCGTACCGAGAACCATCCTGAAGTGTACCATAATCGAGCATACCAGAAAAATATAATACCGTACTGTATCAAACTTTTTTAATAATATGGTATGTACCGTTCTTAAGTGAGAACCGTCCTAGAACTGTCCCAAAACCGTATTGAACCGAATCGTCTCGTAATGTCCCAAAATAGTGGCTACATAAAATAGTACTACATGCGGAGTATATTATACTATCCTCCGTTCCATAAAAGCTGCAACAGTTTGACTTTCACGTTTGCCAACGCGCAACTTTGACTGTAATTATATTTATTTACGTATTAATAAACATTAAAAAAAGTTAATATATTGGAAACTTACATTAATACAAATTTATTAATATTTTATGCATAATATTTTTATTATATATATTATTAGAAAATCGTAGTCAAAGTAAGGTGTGTGAATAGTGCAGAAATTCCAATGTTGCAACTTTTATGGAACGGAGGAAGTATTACATTTTATATTAGTTATTACTCTACACTTTGATATTTCCAGTAAAAAATCCACACTTTGATTACTCAAAACTTTGAAGTCCAATACAATTATACTAAATTTGAAAGAACACTTAACTACGGGTACTAGCAAAGTAGTAATATAACTATTATAAGGAACAAACTCATCCCTTCCATATTCCATGTCGGTGTTCCTCCCGAATTTGGCTCACCTACAAGTCTGCAACCATATTTTGTAGAGATAACTTTCATTTATTCCTTTCCGATTGATTTGAAGAACCGATTGTAAATTTTAATTCTCAGCAGTTTGGATCCGGTAGTGTGTGTTTTTTTGGAAAAGGTGGAAACAAATCAATCAAGAACTATGATTTCAATCTTCTAGTCTCCTGTTTTCAATTTTTGTACAATTATTTATTAATGCTAAAATCTAAAATATTTTATACTTTATGGAAGTTAATTATTTAGGAATCGAATAGTACCGAAGAATCATATTGAAACTTGGTACAAAACGGGACATGTTCTATACATATTCGAGACGAGACAAGTTTTTTTAAGTAACTTTATGTTTCTTCCCATGTTCACCCCTACTTGAACTGTCGGACCGTGACAACTCTACATTTTTTTAGAAAATGCTTAGTCTACATGAGTTGTACACAAATCGTACACAAAACTCTCCCCGTTGTCTGTGTACACGGGCAATTCATTTAAAAGGGGCAGAATTTGATACTCAATTACCTGTGTACACGGACAATGTACACATTTTGTGTATATCTTCTGTAGTCCTCTGTTAGTTTATTCGCGTATAATTTACGTATAATACACCCGAACGTATAATTCATGTATAATACTTCCGTTTATGAATTATTCAGAAAATACTTAAAAATTCACGTACTTTAAGGATAAAATGTATAATACACGTACCGTATGTATTGATATGTATTTTATTAAAAAATACCATTAAACTGAACCCTAATGGAGTGATACAACTGAAGTGAAATGTTTAGCTGCTCAATACTATTTATAATGCTTAAAAACCTATTATGTCTTATACGTTCGTTAATTGTTTAATAGTCATCAGTTTTAATAAATTAGCTTCTTAAATTCACAATTCGTTTTTATATTACTATTGTTACTCTTATTCTCCACTCATAACAAAACTCCAAAAAGAAAAGAATATTATGGCGGCTCATCAAATTTACGGTCACAATAATATAAACTATTCTCTAGAAATATTTCTCTACTTCTACACAAATAGGCAATATCATTTTTATTATTTATTGTACTATGAATTAAAATTCGTATATCTGAAAAACTATTCCGTACATGTTAAACTGTTGAAGAATGTAATGCATATGCTAAATTACTCTTTATTCTCATCATTAAATTAGTACTCCCTCCGTTCTCAAAAATACTTCTCACTTTCCTTTTTGGGCTGTTCCCAAAAATACTTCTCACTTTCCCATTTTGGACAATTTGTGTGGCTCACATTCATTTTACTTTTTCCTTACACAATCACAACCATACATTTCCACTTTATTCCACTTTCTTAATAAGCGTGCCAAGTCAAACCGGGAAGAATTTTTAGGAATGGAGGGAGTATATAAAACATGTATTATATGCCGTATGTATTTTTAAATTGTGAGATGTTTAAAACACGTTCGTATCTTTATTCATTTCAAGAACGTATGAAACATATATTTAGTCGTATTTTATATAATTGTATCGTATTATACACGAACGTACGTATTATTGTATTATTCACGAACAGTATAATACTAACAAATTTCTGTACAGGTTAAACGGAAACTGTCGCTCATAAGTGACTCATCACTCATCAGCTCATCTCTTTATCAATCTGCCACGCGGCCCTACGCTGTATGCACCCTATATTCAATTGCTAATCTGTTTCGGATTTTCTCTGTCAAATCGGTTGACAATATGCATTTTGTCGACAGTTATTGAAGAATGGCGGCATCTGCAATCAAAGCTGGTGCGCTGGTAATGTTACAAGAGCTGAATCCCTCTTCGCCGTTCTTTAAGCAAGGGGCCTCACTCAGAGTCACCGGGAAGTGAGTAATCTGCCTTTTCTTCTACAATTTTTATTTCCCTGATTTATTAGAAGTTTTGAAGTCAAGATTTCAAATTTCAGCCCTAGTTACAAGTTATAAACTTATGATGTAAAACAAACTTTGTTTACCGATCTCACTTCTAAGGTTTTCTTACATCCACTGATAAAAAAAGAGCCAAGCCTTAAAAACTTTGCCCCAATGGTTTTCCTTTAAGCCATTCAAAGAGGGTAAGACAAATGATAATGGATAGAACCTCTGGTGTCAGATTCTTTTTTCTTCCATTTTCTTGGAAATTATGGATAGACTCATAGGCGCTTCTTTTCTCCAACTAGGCTACAAGATTATGATGTCCAGACAGCCTGTGCAGTAGTTGTTGATGGGAATGCCTCCTTAAAGATAGACACACAGCACTTGAATGTCAATATCCGCCCTGGTTCCATCTACCAATTCATTGGAGAACTGTATATTGATCCCAGTAATGAGGTATGATAATTTGCTTATTACCTGCATCTTGGTTTCTATGCACCAGAACTCAACCTTAATCATTTTACCGAGTAATCAATATCCTGTTCTTTTTCTCATCTTCTAGGACAAGAATAAAACCAAGAGCTTTGTTCCTAACTCTTGAGTCAAGGCGAAATGAAAGAATAATTATACTACCTCCGTCCCTTAAAACTTTGCCAAGTTTGACCGGCCCGGGGATTAATAAAGTAAAAACTGTGTGGTTGAGGTTTGTGCAGAGGAGAGAGAATTAGGTGGAACCACAAATTCTTTACTTAAAAGGGAAAGTGTCAAAGTTAGTGGGACATCCAAAAAAGGAAAGTTGTCAATGTTTTAAGGGACAGATGGAGTATGAAAGTCAGCGAAGTATTTAGGAAAATGCTATGTTTTAAGAAAGACCTTGGAGTAGCTTATTTGACACACCTTTACTTATCCACTTCACGAGTGATGTTGGGTCATTTCATTTTTACTAGACCTCTCCACATCAACACTCCTTTACTTAACCACTTCAAGAGTGATTTTTGGGTGATTTTAGGTTTTACTAACCTTTGCCTATCAACACTCCTTTATTTATCCACTTCAAGAGTAATCTCGAGCGATTTAGGTTTACTGAAACTGCTTCAGGGGTAGCTCAAGTGGTCCTCAGTAGGGTGTTCAGTCCTAGGTCTTAGGGGGCAGTGTGGACGTTTCAAACAATGTCTCATAGTGTGCACCAGGCACTGGGCTCCCTTCTAAAGAACAATGAGCTATGAGCTTATTCATGCCGTAGGGGTGGGCAACTCCACCTTTTGAGTCCAAGTTTTCACTGAACCTTTCCCTAGTATCAGTACTCAAAACCAAACTTGGGAATTTGTTGCTTTAATTCCATAGCTGGACCTTATTTATTGTGCTAATGTTATCATATCTTATATCCATCTTTGTTGATCTCGTATCTGAGATGTACTAGTAATATTTAGTTAGATGAATAAAATGATACCACCCTTGGTGGCGCTTTAGTAATCAGATTGTTGTATATAATTTCAGGCGATCTTGAAAGCACGAGTAGGAAGAAATGTGGATGGCATGGACCTTAATCTCTATCATCAGTCATTGCAACTATTGAGAAATTTCATGGATGAACAAACACTTAGCCGCACACAATAGGTCAATGCTCTTGTTATTCTGGAAATGTTACTAATGGAAACGTTACAACACAATTTTTATCTCAGTAACTTACAAGTTACAAAGCATAGTCACATAGTTCGCGGTACGCTTCGGTACGGGAACGAGGGACGGGAACGTGATTCGCTAGATCTAGCGTATCCGATTCGGAGGGGGGTAGGTTCATTCCGGTACGCGTTAGGTATGATGTATCCATATGTTAGGTACGTTGTACCTAATATTTTGGTACTATAATTAAACTGAATTACAGAATATAGATTTCAACATTGAACAAAAACATATTTCATAACACGATTTCATAACATTAAACAAAAGCAAAAACATTAATATTCAAGAAACCTATCAAACAAGAAAAGTACATAACTGATCAACTCGAGGTCTCTTTCCTTTCCCCTTGTACACGTCTTCATCCTCTAAATTCTCCCAAACCATGTCTTCGAGTCGTGAACTTGAGTCTTCTATGTATGTGCTCTTGGGATTGATGTCCAATATTTGTGTGGACCGACTTTATACGATTTTGAAAACCAATTTGTCAGCTCTTTTGCAATTTAACTGGTTTCTCTTCACACTATGAATGTAAGAATATGTACTCCCATTTCTTTCCACTGAAGAGCTACTAATTGGTTGTGAAAACACTTTCTTTGCTACTTCGGCTAATTCCAGTGTTTCGGCTCCATAGGTTGACCATCAATCTATTGCATCCATTGTCACGCAATCCGTTTGTGTTGCCACCATTGAATAGATCCTTTTCTTCATATGGAATGTAGCAAATTGCTCTTGTAACAGACTTTCATCTTCTTGATTTTCTGCAATTCTCTTGAAAGCTTCCATAACACCAAGCACCTCTTTATCTTGATTTGGTACTTTTCTTGGAATACCACTTGGAGCCAATTTTTCAAGATAGAATTTATCATAAAATCTTGGGTTTTATGCAAACCCCAAACAGTCAAGTGGGATTGTATCTTCTCTCATCTAGCTACAATAATTTTCTCGATATCCAGGTAATAGCAAGAAAATACTTCACTTTGCAATGTTTGCAAACCCACTGTTTTGCACCACCTGCATTTTTACTGTCACCACTGCCAATAAAGTTAACTTCTTTCAGCAATGGTTTGTTCGCATGACTTGCAGCAGCATCCTTAGCTTGTGTAGCAGATTGAGTTTGTTGAGTAACTTGCGTTTTTGGAATTTCTGTGTCACTATCATCAACATTAAAGGTGGTTGGGGAATGTGGTTTGGACTTTGGCGTACGAACAATAGAGCATCTTCCCTCAATTTATAACAGTTAATTAAAATGTAAAATTGATGAGTAGGAATAAGTAGGATTAGAAAACGAAGAGCTGGTTCGAAATCCGTACGTCTATTACTACGGGCTTCTGAAACGAAGCATACAGATATTCAAACTTGCGTGTCTCAAATGAGTCAAATGACGATTCATTTTTTTCCAAATGCGATCAATGGGGAAAAGGGAACGACCTGTGTCAAGTTTCCGATCGCGTTTCCAAACTATTAAAGTCGTATACTACTCGTATCATACGGCGATTGAGCTCGCTTCAAGGTGCGATTGGGATCAACTGGCACAACGTACTCTATAGCGTTCCATGGTGTGATCGGTCGTACCGCGATTGGGTACGCACTGATAAACTATTAATAATAAAAATAAAAACTTCAACAACATTAACAAGAGGGATTACCAAGAAAGGTTATTTAGTGGTTAGAAGCTTTTAAATTTGGTAAAGATGCAAATAGAATACAAACGCACAAGCCAGATTACAACATACACCTGAATATATTATATATGCATAGACATGGAAGTGAAAGCTAAATACCAACCTCAGCAAGCCCACTATCTACAACTCTACAAGCAACTCTTGCCTCCTCCTTAGAGGATCTTTTTTGCCACCCTCATTTAAATATTGAGCTTTTAATGTGCATTTAGTTTTTTCACATGTGGGCTCAACTGCATCGATTCCATCTTCTAAAGCACACGAAGATTCTCCTTTATCCATTTCTGGCAACCCCTGATATCCAAGAAAAAGATATATGTAATTATTCAAGACATATGCAACTTGTTCTATGAGTTATTGGTTAAAGGTGAAGAGTCAACCTTGACAGCGAGTGAAGGAATCAATAACTTGAATCAACGATAACTGATGGCAGCAAGTAAAATATTTATTGTAGTTTATTGAAATGAGGTAGAAGCCTAGCTATCAAAACAAGAGTTTTGATGAATAATAGACTGATATTTGTGAGGGTTGTGTATACTAGGGTGTGTTTGGGAATTGGTTTTTTTGGGGAGTAAGACATGTGAGGGTTGATGATCCTCGTATTTGGGTTTGGGAGTCTAAAAATGTGGAGGAGTGGTTTTGGAAGATTTTTTTGTGACCGTCCAAACATCCTCAAATGCTCAATTTTAAATTTCCCCAAAGTGGTTTTATTTTTATAGATAACAAATTATATGATAATTTAAGTTCAATTCAAAATGAATATCATTTCAACTATTTGAATTCATCGTGATTTTAATTTTAATTCCTTCTAAGGCTCTTTTTTAAAAAAAATACTATTCTCAAATAAGCAGGTGGGTTTCCTCACCTTTCCTTCTTTTACCTTCAAACAATTTACCTTCAAAGCCCTCACCTTCCTCCCTAACTCCCAAACATACCCTAAAGGCTTATGGACTTGTGGGTACTCAGACACCTCGAATTCAAATTCATCATCCATGCCAAGGCCTTCTCCCCAAACTCCTAAACATACCCTAGATCTTAATAATTCTTTTCGCTAAGCGCACCCAACGGTAGGTTCGGTTTACTACCATGGATTCCAACCAAAATGTGATTCTTTCATGGTTAATGATAGCTTTCTTAAAACTTGTTATTATTTCCCTAGAAAAACATTGAACAGAAACAGATTTCATAGTTCCACAAAACAATTTTAATTTAAGTTATTTTTTTGTTTAAACACTACACCTAGAAAAAATCAATATTCCTTAGTTCCACAAAACAATTTTAATTTAAGTTATTTTTTTGTTTAAAATTGGCCAGTTTGATGGAAAGTAAATAGGTACCTCTTTGGTAAAGGAATATCCATCAAAGAGATTGGAGAAAAGAGGTACCTATTTACTTTCTATCATGTTATTGATATGGAACATGTTATTGGAAGTGGCCCTCATAATGTATGTTATGATTTTATGAATATTGGGGTCGCTAGGAGAATTGGCAATCTTATTGGAAAATGGAATTCTTATATGAGAATCAGGGTTTGTATGGATGTAGAGAATAAGGTGGGCACGACTCTTAGGAAAGGCCTGGGAGCATGACATTGGGTCGACTTTAAGTATGAGAAATTGCCTAGTTTTTGCTTTGTCTGTAGTATTATTGGTCATGCTGACAGGTATTGTTCCTTGATCTATGATTGTAAAAGTACGGAGCTGGCTAAGCCCTTTGGGGTAGGATTACGAGCAGGTGGAGGGGGGGGGGGGGGGGGGGGGGACTCGCCCAATAGAAGGTAATAAATGGCTGGTATCAGAAGTTTTTGCAGGTGAACGGAGTGTGATTCAGAAAGATAATGTTCTTGGTAGAGTGATTCGAGTGAATGAGAATATTGGAAGGGCTGGGACGGGGAGACAGAATTGGGTTCTTACCATGGCGGGAGGGAACAAGACTCGTAACGAGGAGGACGAAGCAGTAGCTATGGGGGATTCTGTTGGTGAAAGAAGCGCAGGAGGGTGTGGGAGGAGGACAAAGGCGTGGATGCTGGGAGAGACAACATGGCTCTCGGTGGTCCAAAAAACGCAAAAGGGGCGGGTCTAGGCTCTTCGACCCGCCGAGAGCTTTGAAGATGATTTTGCTTAATGAAGCACGGGGGAAGCCCCTCGGGTTGCTGAGGGTGCAGCTCAATTTCCACTTTTATGATTTTATTTTTGTCTTTTATTTGGATCAGATTGTGTTTGTTTTTGTCGTTTATGGTTTTTTTTGTCAGACTCTTGCATTAGGATTGGGCGATGAGAGATCTTTCCTTACCGTGTTAGGCTCATTTAGACCCATTACAAGATCAACGAGTCATATTGCTTTTTAGGGGTGATTGACTCTAAGTCTGGTTCGAGAATCGGCGGGTGGAAGTGGTCCTTTTATCTTGTTCTCCTTCCGAATGCTGTGAATCTGTGATATCAATGGCCTTTTCCCAAAAACGGCATTTTGATATGGTCAAATGTGTGACATGCGTGAGATAAATTATAGTGCGATTTATAGTTTCTAACCCTTCAACATTTTGTTTTTTTGAATACGCCAGTTCACAGAGCCAAGTTACAATAGTAAAAAGAACTAATGGGACTTCTCACAGTTGTGCATAGTCGACTATCAAAAGTTAAGCATAGGCTGCATAGCTAACAACATCATGCAATAATTGAATGCCAAACGGGATTAGGATATAAATATTACTAATAAGTAAAATATGGACACAAAATAGATATTTTTTATTTTCAAAAATGTGATTAAATGAATCCTAAAACTGGAAAAATACAATATTAAATTATCCTCCTAATACATAGTAACACCTTTGTGAAATTGACTAGGGTTGGGCGCGGTCCGGAACGGTCCGGTAAATTGGTAAAACCCGTAATGTATCCGTGAGGTTTTTAAAGGTCCGGTACGGTCCGGTTCCAAGGATAGAACCGTTCGGTACCATGTCGTTTCGGAACGGTATGAAACGGTACGGTACAATGCCAAACACATGCTAAATTTTTTGAACAAATCTTGCAAATTAGTAGATATCATCACATCAATCAACTTACATGAAATGTTGAAATAAATACAAGAATTTGCATATCTAGTACTAAAATTCACAAATACACAAATAGTGCAACACAACTAAGAAAAAGTATAGCAAAACGATGACGCACGAGATAAATATCATTTTTAATTTACTAAGTTCATGTGAAAATATAAAAACGAATATCATCAAATTGTTGAATATTATAGAAATCTTCAATGTTCTTCTTCGTTCTAGGTTAAATATTACTCTGTAGTTCTAATTTAATTTATAGTTCGTTGAACCTTAAGAGCTAAGATTTAAACCATATTAATTAAGTTGTAAAAAATGCACAAACATGATACAACAAAAAGTCATGTACACTACATTACTAAAAATAAATAATCATTAATGATATCTAAAATTTTAATATTCTTTCAATACATACCAAAATATAACATAAATTATCTAAAAAGAAAAAGTAGCAATATATATAAACAACACATTTTAGATATCTTAGGGACACATGAATACATATTTGGGGTATAAAATTGTTGGTCTAGATCTATTGATATAGAAAAAATATAAAAAAGTCAAATGCATTATTTACAAACAGTTCGGTTCGGTAAATTTCGGTTCTCAAAATCTAGGACCGGTCACGTACCCGTTTCAAACGGTACGGTTTCAGTACGGGATAAAAATCTATAGAACCATTTAAATACTCGATATTCGGTTCGGTACCATTACGGGACGGTTCGGTACCGGTTCGGTTCGGATTTTATTCCCACCCCTAAAATTGACCGCAACCTAGCATTTAGTTGACTCACTTTTTGTAACTCCGGATGCCAAGTGATCTGCCATCCCTGGAACATCACTACCCTAGTGTCCTACTGCCTCAGTAACCCCGGACTTCTCAACGACTTATTAACATTTGAGTGATCAATCGCCAGTCCGCCACCATTAACTCAGTGATCAATTGGTGCATAACCACTCCCACTATCCACAGTGACAGCAGCCTCACCAAGTCATCACTGCACAAGCACTAACCCCCGAGTGCCTCAATGACCTTGCCACCACGAGTGACTCTGGCGGTCATGCGACTGGAAATCCTGCGGCTCTGCCCCTACTCTTGCCCCTACCACTATCCTCGCTACCCCAGTCCCAAACACCCCCCACCCCACTTTCGCGTGCCCATGTTTGCCCTAAACACAATGTTTAATCACTATCCTCGCTACCCCAGCCCCAAACACCCCCCCCCCCCCTACCCCAGCCCCAAACACACTCCTACCCCACTACTAAGCTCGGCCAAACCCTTGCTTGCATTTGTTAACTTAGCTCCCAATCCTCCCATGCATCACCAATAAACCTAGCCACCACGAAGAAGAAGACGATCCAAAAGCTCTAGATCTAGATCTTCATTACAGACGATCCAAAAGATTTAGGTCAGGTAGGGAGTGCAACGATTGTTTGCTAAGAAAGGAGAAAAGGATGAGACAAGACAATGCAGTCAACAGCGGCAGTTTGTGGACAAAAAGAATGGAGAAAAAGAATACTAGAGGAGTTGTGATGGTGACATAAGTGGTGCAAAGTAGGGGTCAACCGGTTCCGGGTAGACCAGCCTGTGACCCGGCCCAACCCGTTACTGTTTAGTACCAGCCCAGCAAAGGCCCGGCCTGCCAAACGGGTCCGGACCCGAGCCCGATCCACTAGGCCCAAACGGGGGGCTGTAAAGGCAGGCTCCGGGCCTGCAAAAACAAGGACCGGTCCGGCTAGGCCCAGTCCGTGCCAATTTTTTTTTTAAATCTTTGGGTGGTAGGCAGGTTGGTTTGGGTGTTTTGGAGGGGTTTGGGGTGGGGGTAGCAATTAATTAGAAAAGCAAAAAAAAAACCGCTACCTGGTCCCAGCCCGGAACCAGTCCATGCCTAGGGCAAAGTCACTAACATCATCAAAGATGGAGCCGCTGTTGTTGGAGACATCATCATCTATAGAGCCTCGCCATTATTCCCAAAGCCTCACAATCAAGCTGATCAAGCAGAGCTGTGAAGATAGAGAGTTGCAGACTTGCAGATAGAAGAGGATAGAGAGAGGTAGATGTAGTTTTTTTAATACTGATGACAGCATTATTTTTTTTTTCAAATCAAAATTAAATCTCATTTTTATACACGTAGAAGCATGTAGTCTCACTGAGTCACTTGTGTCATTGATTCATTCCTAAAAGAAAATACTTTGTAACTTTTAGTCAGTTACTACTTTACCATGGCTGAGAAATATTGTTTGCCCTCTAGGTTAATAAATAAAAACAGGTTCAACATAAACTTCTTGAAATAACAGCATTACAAAACATAGTGAAAACGGAAATACTAATCAAATTTCGCTGGAGCCTGGGCCCTGGAGGGACAGCAATGGAGATGTAACAAAAATAAACACATTTGAACTATATATTTGGTCAATGGAACTACTGAATTCCAAAAAAAGAAACAATGAGCAGTGTTCCCAAATCTGTAGCCAAACGGAATGCTTCTTAATTCAATTTATACTTTTGAAAATAGTTTTATTACATTAATATGGGCTGAAGACGTCCTAGACAACAGAAAGTGAAAATGTGCTTACATATTCTATCAAAATTGAGCCGACAAATGGATACAGTTTCTTTAGCAGATGGTATATTACTGTCCTTGACTCTTGCATCATTGCCATATGGACCATCCAAATTTAGACTTGTTTACCGTTTTCTTGTCAGACCACTTTAGGGAGTTCTTTTGCTTGAGCTGCTACCTTCAGAACACCATTATCTGCCAATGGCTGCAGCTCATCATTGATCAATTCATGCACCATAGGATCAGAGGTTTCCCAAAACGCGCTTATCACCTTCAAGCTGAAAATCAGGCAAATGGGGACCCCATAATGATACACCTACCTAGGTAAAATAATCCAATGACAACAGAGAAAAGAAGAGAACAAGAGAGGTAAAAAACCTGTGACCTTGCGCCCATGTTGCACAATGTCCTTTTAGAGATTTTTCATATAAAGTGCGAGCAAAGGCAGGGCACTCTAAGACTAATTTTCTAATAGTCCTACTAGAATGGTAGTTCTCAAGGATATGTTCCTCTTCTGCCTCCAGTTTAGGTTGTGAGGCAAGTGACGCTATAGTTTCATACAAGGCTTCCAATTTCTCATGTAGAGTGTGACTGAGAATTCCATCGGCACCCCCACATACAACCTGAATGCACGGATTCACCATATAAGATTAAACCTTAATAGTCAACAATACTGCAATAAAGGAATGAGCATTTGTTGTCAATCTAGCAAACTAAAAGAAAGTTAACAAAGTCAAGCCGTCGAATTAAACCTACATTGCAAGTTCCTTAATCCTGAAAATATGTTTACCATTTCAAAATGATCTTGAACTAACAAAATATTTCATAACGACACTAATATTTAAAATTGATAGTACTAAAAATGTTTGTGATCTATGAAATTAGTGGTTAAGGACACCATACTGATGATCATAGTGATTTTTTACAGTGATCATGACCATATACGATCAATATCAGGAAGTTTCTCTTCGCACATCGACCTTAAAGAATAAGCATTGCAGTTGAACCATCACCGGTCAGTCATTTCCATTTCAAAGTCAATAAATACATTTTCATTTAGGATGACTTAAGCCGAAGTGCTTTTAATATGGTGCTTTCTCATTTAAGCACAAGTACTTTTTCACAAAGTGCTAATATGGTGCTTTCTTAAAAAAGCGCTAAAAGTTTGCTTTTAAATATTGAAAGAACTTTTTATATTTGCTTGCCAAAGGCTTCTTTTTGAGTAAAATCACTTTGTTCTAAATCTTTAACAAGTACAAAAGGGAGAGGCTATTAGAAAAATGGGTACTGTTTTTGGTCTGACAAGCACCATTGTTTATTGTTCAGATGTGTAGAAGGGAGAACAAATGAATGAACAGTATCACAGAGTACCTCAAACACAACATCTTTACCAACATTTGATCTTAGTAAATCTTCAGGCATCTCAGAGCACACATCAAGGAGTTTCTGCAACAAATTATATGTTAAGAATAAAAATCATAATAGTAGTAGTAGTAGTAGTAGTAGTAGTAGTAGTAGTAGTAGTAGTAGTAGTAGTAGTAGTAGTAGTAGTAGTAGTAGTAGTAGTAGTAGTAATACGATAAATTAATAATAATAAAAATAACAACTTCAACAACAACATTAATAAGAGGGATTACCAAGAAAGGTTATTTAGTGGTTAGAAGCTTTCAAATTTTGTAAAGATGCAAATAGAACACAAACACACAAGCCAGATTACAACATACACCTGAATATATGCATAGACATGGAAGTGAAGGCTAAATACCAACCTCAGCAAGCCCACTATCTACAAGCAACTCTTGCCTCCTCCTTAGAGGATCTTTTTTGCCACCCTCATTTAAATATTGAGCTTTTAATGTGCATTTAGTTTTTTCAGATGTGGGCTCAACTGCATCGATT